CAGTATATATATGAAGCACTAAAATGACCAACGACGAGAACAATGAAAGAAGAAGGTATTGTTTTAACTTTATTGTGCCCTAAAACTTTAATGTTTTCAAAAAGATCTGAAACTGGCTTAAATATAAGTTGAGTTTATAACTGTGAAAGATTAAGAAAAAAATATGGCATGAAGGAGTACCATTCTGGAAAAATGACGTCATTAATTTGATGAATTTCACTATTTCAAACAGAAAAGCTAGCCTCAAAATGACCCATTTCAAGGGGAATTTTCCTTCACAAAATGGTGTCCACAGCCGTCGTCCACTTTAATTTTTGGATATGCTGTGCAAAATACTTAAGGAATCACTGTCAAGTTTTGAGAGTATGCCAGGGCATCAACAATAGTGGGAAACATGGGATAATTTGCATAACGGGCGAAGCCCGTTAAGCTAAAATTATCCCATGTTTCCCACTATTGTTGATGTCCCTGGCATACTCTCAAAACTAGACAGTGATTCCTTATATTTCCATTTCATTGTGAAATAAATTGAAGACTAAGACATTAAAAATGTAGACTAATCGATTTAAATTACACGAGGACTTCCATGCCAATTTCAATAGTCCTGGCACACTGACGTCAAACACAATGGCAGACGCACGAGATTTACATGCATATTTGGCCTCCTTAGCGTCAGACACAGAGACAGATGCGCACAAGATTTGCATGCGTATTAGGCCTCCTTAGCTGCTGACCTATCGACCTGCCTAATTTACATTCCGGCAGAATTATCAAGAAATAAATCCCCCCAACTTTTAAACAGTTATCACAGAGAAAAAAAAATTAGAAATGGAAATATAATGAAAAATAACATATCTAAAAATCTTTGTGGGCGATGCCTGTGGACAATGTTTTCTGAAAGAAAATTCCATTGAAAATTGGTGTCTTCTGCAACATTTTAAGAAAAAACGTACTTTGATGTCACAATAAGCATTTAGAAATGCATTTGAGAAAAATGATTTGTATTATTTTTATGCATGGAATTTCAATGATTCAGAATACATGAGTTTTCATTTTTTACATCAGTTTCATTTTTAAGAAAATCACAGGGCAAGATTTATATTGAAACCGTACCTTCTTCTTCTTCTCAAAATTTCGGGACTCCCTGTCTCTTCCTAAGAGCCAAGAAAAAAAGAGTAACAACTAACTAGCACTATTTCTAAACTAACAAACACTATATATTTACAACGTTACATGTTGAATATGCAAACTAAGATAAGATGTTTATTAGGTACTTACAGGCCGTTGCCCACTGTACATATATAGGCATCATATACATGTGTGACATGAAAATTTTTAAAATACAAAGTGCATAGCATGACATTTGAAAAAAAATGGAAACTGACCAGACCTGTACGAAATGTTCCGCCTGGAATATAGGGGGAATTGAGGCGTACTTGGAAAGGCGTCAGTTTGTCTCTCTACATATATGGTGATACACAGGTTCCGGGCGTAACATAGGCGGAAACCAAGCGGAAATGGGCAGGAATTTGAGGCGAAACATGCAAATGAGCTACGTCCGGAAAAATAAATGACGCCCGTAAAAAATTACGCCTGGAAACTAAAATGACGCCTGGAATAGAATTACGCCTGGAATGTCCTTATTATTATATAATACCATGTGACCTAAAAACCTATATATTTACCATGATAACAAAGAAAAACAGATTATGATTACAATGTTAAAGCTAAAAATTTAGCTTTTTGAACTGTAAGAAAACATAATGACAGGTCATTAACATATATCATTAACAAGTATAGAAAAATAACATAAATTTTGTGTAAGAAACACTAAAACACAACCACCATGATTGAGTTTGTTTTATAATACCTGTACATTTTATCACTTCAATAATTACATGTGTATATTGAAACATTTTAGTTACTCAATACAATTCTTCATTTACTCAGTTAAGTTTATAGTTCGATACTCACTGCAGCCTCTAGCTATCAGACTGTTATTTCTCAGAATGTGTGCAACTGGAAACTCAAATATCTAAAGTAATTTTAGGGTCAGCTAGTGCTAATTGTAACGGGAACCGTTACAGATGTTCCCCAAACGCTCCCCAACTCCCTTTTGGTACCATATTCCCTGTAAGCTTCATTAAATAAGACAAACTCTGTGCATTTTTGACTTTAACAACTTTTTCCCAGGATACCAATTATATTCAAATTTTAGCATTGGACCCAAGCGCATGTGAATGCATGTGTGTTATGACCATATCATCTTGTCTACACTCTCTATATATTAAAGCATTCAGTCCAAAAGTAATAAAAATCACTCATTCAAGTGTATATTTAATTATACTCGTTCCAAATACACGCACGTGCGTGCACAAGGTGCACGAGCATGATGACCATACCTTCTTGTAGGAGTTTATTACATCTATCGAAGTTCTAAATCCCATCCTGTTTGGTTGAAAAACGAGGGAGTTATAGCCATTTCAAGTTTCAACCAATCAGATTGCAGCACACGTGCATGCACGTGATTTCATGAATTTTTCTATATCATATTATAGGATATTCTAATGCATGACTACATTTTAAATTTCAAAGTTTTTTTTGTCAAAAAACAAAGAAGATATAGCCATTTAAAGTTTCAGCCAATCAGATTGCAGCACACGCACAAGCGCATGCTTTCATGAAAATTCTTATATATCATGCGGTAGATCTTCATAATGTAAGACAATGTTCAAAATTTCAAAAGATTATGACAAGAAACAAGAAAGATATGATTGATTGATTGTATACTGTTTAACGTCCCTCTCCAGAATATTTCACCGATATGGAGACGTCACCATTGCCGGTGAAGGGCTGCAAATTTAGGCCTATGCTCGGCACTTACGGCCTTTAAGCAGGGAGGGATCTTTATCGTGCCACACCTGCTGTGACACGGGGCCTCGGTTTATACGGTCTCATCCGAAGGACCGCCCCATTTAGTCGCCTTTTACGACAAGCAAGGGGTGCTGAGGACCTATTCTAACCCGGATCCCCACGGGGCACAAGAAAGATATTGAGACTTTAGTTTCAGCCAATCAGAGCGAAGCGCACGTGCATGCGCGTGAGATCATGCTATTTTGACCATGCTATCTTGTCTATACTACATGTACTAATGTATCCTTACATTATGAGTTTCAAAAAATTTCATCAAAAACAAAAAGTTACGGCAATATCCGGGACGACTTTCGTCCTCATTTTGCAAAATTCCGACATCAAAGTTGCAGCTCATATTGCTTTAAATTAGTACAGTTACTGAGTTCCACAAATTCTAAAGAACTATGTAACCTGGGTAAATTTTCGTATTTTCCCTATCAATAAAGATATGAAGTTCTAAATAATAACGTCGTTTAAATTAATCATTGTTTATGTATGATTATCTATTTTACGTGATTGGTAGAGCATGTTGTGGCTCGCTAAGGCTACTCTAGGAGCCAATACAAGCTTGCTATGGAGTGCACTAGGAGCTTGTGTGAGGGATCTGTTCGGTATAACAGTAACCTCGTACCCCGTTCGGTATAACGGGTGGTTATTTTTGCCCTACTCGGTATAGTGGGCTTACCTTTTCGGTATAACAGGTAGTAGCCTCGCTAAGGAATCCACTAGGAGGCAATTACATATCCCAGCTGACTCGCTAAGGGATACCCTAGGAGTCGATTTATAAATATTGTTACGCCTTCCTATGGATTACCCTAGAAGGCGAGGTGCCATAACGCCCGTTATCGATTTAGGTGTGTGGCACCATGTGGCAAAATGGTTAGAGCGTTTGTTCTGTTGTCGCGGAGTAAGGAGTTGATTCTTACGTCACGAGTTCGGAATCCCATTGTGGGACGTGGAGACCGGTCTGTTGCATAAGACTGTATAAACCGAGGTTTTTACCGTTGATTATAAACTTGCGTGTTCAACATTGAGTGGATCGGGCTCGGTATTCGGACAAGGCAGGTGGACATTTTTTCCAAGAGTAGGCCAACTAACACTGACTAAGGAAGGGGTAAAATAGGCTAATTTCAGAGGCTAAAGCAGAGTGCAGAAACGATGATCGAGATTGGACTTTGGAGGATTAATATATATTTGAATTGGTCATTTCCTGTTCCAAGGTATGCGGATAAACATTAAGACATGAAAATCAACAGAGGGCAAAAATAAACACTGTATATTGGATTGTATATAGAAGTCTTTCTTCTGCTTTATTTTAGTCTAATTGATCATAAAGGTTTAAGTTACATACATATTTGTCATAATAAAACATTTTAACAGCAAAACACAGTTTCAAAAATGCAGCTCATATTGCTTTAAATATTAATGGTATGTGGCAACGCACTTTGAAAAAATTACGCACTTTGAAAAAATTTTTCAAAGTGCGTAAAATTTTTCAAAGTGCGTTAAATTTTGGACACACTCAACGCACTTTGAAAATTTTTTTCAAAGTGCGTTAAGAATGCACATAATAATTTTTTACCATGGAGGCATTTAACGCACTTTGAAAATTTTTTTCAAAGTGCGTAATTTTTCAAAGTGCGTTGTAACAATGGTATTTTAAAATAACTCCTGAAATATTTCATTCTAAGCTCTTCATACCGAAGACATTTTTATAGAAAATGAAATTCGTCCTCTATCTCACCTGACATACATATTTCATATTTTCTATCTGTAGTCGGTCCATTTAACTAAAATATAAGCATCTTTTACTAGGTTTCTAACTGTACTATTATGGAGGGTATATATTTTTTTTATTCATATTTAGCATTAACGAGTCATGCTTGTAATAGTGAATAAAAACTTAGATAAAGGCGCTCAATTAATGATGACAGTTTACATGAACGTATATATACTTTAACCAATCCGCTTTTATCTTAAATGCACAGAATATCAAAATAAATACGATCATACTGGTTTAATATTTTTTTAAAATAAAGGGAATTATACACAACATTGTCGTGAAAGACCTCCGCCACATAAACCTCTCAGATATCTGCCACTGCAGTATTTTGAATTATCTTGGCAAGTGCCACGTACCCTCCAACATTGAACATCCGCTCCTGTAAACAATTTTAAAAATGTATTAAACAAATGATTATCAATGTTAAAATTTCATCATTTTTTATTAATTTTTAGCGTAGTACATGTACTTCTATGAATAACAACGTAAAAAATCCCCAATTCAAAGATTCAAGCAATGTATAAAATCCTGACAATCTGCAGATCTGTAGAGTTATGGTTTTATAAATTTGTCTTTGATCATAACGCTACAGATCCGGTAATGCAAAAAAAGGTGCAATTTACGGCGCTTTTTGCGCTCTTTCGAGGAGAATTTCTTCACTTTCTAGCATTGGTCAATCAACTACCGTACTTTCAGTCCCTAATTCTAGACACATTCTGAAGCCAATATGTATATTCTATCCACCTCCCAACCATTTATAGTTGTCTCTACAGGCAATAAACTCGCTCAAAGTAAATTTTCAGCAATGTAACAAATAATTTAAATCAAGCTAGTTTATCACTTGTATAGATACGACTTTTAAGGGTTAGGAGATGGATAAAATATATAGATTAGCTAAATAATGTGCTTAGAATTATGGAGTGAAAGGTATTTAATTGACCGATGCTGAGAAGTAGAGAAATTCTTCACAAAATATTGCGCCGTAAATTGCACCTTTTTTGCATTGCGGGATCTGTAGCGTTAAGGTCAAAGACAAATATATAAAACCATAACGCTACAGATCTACAGCTACTAAAATTGAAGCAAAAATCTAGAATTTTAATCTAGAAAACTAGTTCAATCTTGAATTCGAAGATTTATGTCTCTTACAATTAATAAAATCAACGATACACGTTTTATGTGCAGTTTTAATTTGGTTGTCTCTTTTTCTTTTGCAGACAACTCTGGGTATAGGCTGTATACATCAACAAAAGAGTTTATTTTCTTATTCCCAATATTAACACTTGTTTGGTCTTGATAACATTTTAAGGCATAAATATTTGTAGGGTAATATCCTATTGGGGATATGTGCTTAATATTTCTTGTACCTTTTTTTACAATAAATGCAACAAATGGTTTTATGAAAAAGGAAACAGTTTACTATTCTTCGATAGGTGTACTTATACCATCTTTTCCTCAGAACTATAACAAACAAAACAAATTAAAATTGTGGAGTAAAAATTCCGCTACATTGAAAATTAATAGTATTGTTTTAAGTCTCCTTTATTGCAATTCTAACACTTGAAGGTATGTTTTGTTTGTTTAACACATTAAACACTAATCGCCCCAAAGCACTGTTGTGAGAGAAAATCGATATAAATTACCCTACTGTCGACCATGATGATAGGCAAATTTAATCAGCCATTCAATGTCTGCAACACATTACTGAATAAGTGAAAAAAAACTTTGTTAAAACACATTTTGAATATTCTGTTTGTTAAAATATTCTGATTGTATACACAAGTACTGTGAAGTTGATATCAATATGATGCCTGAATTTCTGATTGACAATATCTATGTGGATTTTCAGAATAGGCTTCGGGACCACCAACGGGGCCTATGTCTTCAAAACCTGTTGGAACTCCTATGGGTACTGATTATGCCACCATATTAGCAGACTTTTTTTGTATTTTTATGAAGCAGAATTTTTTCAAATCTTATACATGAGAAAAAGAAAACACTTGCCGAAGTTTTCAACTCGAAATTTATATATATCGACGACGCATTATAAATTTAAGATAGCCATTTCCATTTATTTGTCAACACAGTATATTCCAGTGAGCTTGAGATAGATGATACCACAGAGACAAACTCATTTTTTTATACTTAATATTTAACTAGAAAAGAAACGTTAATGGTAAGATACCGACAAAGGTTTATGGTAATAAACGTGATGACAACTTTTAACTTGTCAAATTCCCTTACTTATGATGCATCAATACCCTTATCACCTGCATACGAGATTTACTGAGTATATCTCTCAGTTTATTCGATAAAAGAACATGCTCTACGTAAAAACAATATCTAAACCAAGGTAGGTTATTGGCAAACAAGATAATGACAAAATAATACCAAAAGTCTCGTTAAAAGTCATCATTTCGTAAGTCCTAAAATTGATACAATGACTTTTGGCAGCAAATAATAATATAATCTATCGTTAATGATGACTTCCATTTTGCATACCAGTTGTCGGACCATGATTTCCGTTTTTTTTTTTCAATCATAATAGGAGCACAAAGTGGTTGTCGCATTTGATCCGAATATAAAAAAGACGTCTCAAACTCTGATTCTTTTTTCAAGTTAAATCAGACGTATCAAATTAAATGATAAATGAAAAAGAAATATGTTAATTAATATCATATCACAATGCATCTGATTAAAAATCAAATAAAGGGTCACATCACGAAACTTTTTTCCTTTTATTTAAAAGTGATTTTTTATATAAATTTTCTTTCAAAAACACTTTTAAACAAACACGCCTGCTACTTTTCCTTTGCTGGAGGAAGTTTGTCTTGTCCATTTCTCCCATTTATTTTTACCACTGCAAAAAAGGTTATATGTATGAATACTCAGTAAATGTCGACATTCCACACGCTCAAATCAGTGCATTGAATCTTAATGATTATAAAATTGTTTCAATTTGTAATTGAATTTTTTTTCATGAAATAACTAAACACTTTTAATGAAGAAATCTATTATTTCAATTACCTTTTCTTTATTTTGGTCCACTCCATCATAAACAGGATAGTTTGGTTTAAATTCGTCTTCTCTGGTTGTAGTTAAAACTGGCATAGGCTTCTTAACGTCTGCTGGAAATTCTGATTCTGTTTTAATATTGAAAAAAAAATCACAAATCAAAATACATGTCAACCATTCCAACAAACTAGCCTTTTTCTCAAAGAAATCTGGACAATTTTTTTGCGTCTATGAAATAACGACAAGAAGCTCAAGGACCACAACACTCACCAGAGTCATTTTATGATTGGATCAAACCTATTATAAGGTTGATTTTACATGTATAATCAATATGACTACCAGTTATCTGGCTTCTGATATTTTGATAAGGGAATTCTCTTGTATCCTATATCCCTATGTTAAATGGGGTTTAAGTTTTATTGAAGTGATTAGTTTAATTCTAAGTTTTATTGAAGAGAAAAAACAATTATTTAAGCATTTCTTTTACAAAGACAGCTTGATGTAAGTAAAACCTTTTCTTGTGTTTATGGAGTCGTCCTCCTCTACTTTGTGGTTTGTTGATTCCGAGCTGACGTTCTGAACCTTTAGCAGCCGAGATTTCGAAACATTTAATTTTTGTTTTGTTTTGCTGTTAGAATAAAAATAACGATTTAATGTGCATGAAATGGACAATCAAAGTTGCCTACAAATTTGTGTCAAAAAATTTTGGACAAAGATTAAATTATTTTAATTTATCTTATTTTGTTATTGAAATAAAAATAACCAATGAATGTACATGAAATGGGCAATCGGAGTTGCCTACAAATTTATGGCAAAAAATATTGGACAAAGATGAAATTACATTTCTTAAACTAAAACATCTTGGACATACACGCGAGTCTTCATAAAATTTTGCGTTTCACATATTTTTTTTTAAAATATGTCAGTTATAGAAGGATCTGTCAAACTTACCAAAGTCGTTTTCCTCTTATTGTATACTTGTAAATTATGAAAGCGGTAGTGCAAAGCATTCCAAGGAATAGGAAACCACCAAGAGCTAATATGCTAGAGTTCCTTGTATCATTTTCAAACTCCAATGCTTTATCCGTAGGTGATGCATACGAAGTTGTTGTTGACAAAGGGATCTGAATTGTTATTGATACAGAACTTTGCCGACTGGGTGTTCCATAGTCCTTTGCTGTTAAAGTCAATCGTAATGTTTTCCCTAAATACAAGGGAGTCAAATCCTCCTTGATATAAATACTACCATTACTCATAATCCCAAAATACTCCTTCGAGTTTGATGATTGGTCTAAAACATAATAAAATTGCCCTTGAGGATTTGTAGACAGGTCATTGTCATGCGCTGTAAAGTTTGTTACTATTGCACCAATCAGCTCATGGGATTGCAAAGTCAACGAAACCGTGGCTGCTGAAAAGACGGGAGAGAATTCGTTTTTGTATTCAATAAACACCCCAACAATTGCGGTATCCGAATTTCCTCCAGAATCACGCACGGTAAGAGTACAATTAAAGTTGGTAACGGTTGCCGGAATGTCTAGATCATAATTTCCAAGAAACGAAAACTGGCCTGTATTTGTGTTGATTGACACCTTGTTGTCGTAAGGACTGCCACATGTCTTTTGGAATGTGAAAGTTTCGCCGGCGTCAGGGTCTCTTATGTTGTAGTTTGGAAGCGGAAATGTTGATCCGCTCTAAAACAAAGGTCAACAACTTTTTTACTGCATTTTATGTATTTTCCAGGACGAAAAAGAAACATGATAAAATCAAATATTTCTATTGCATACACACACTAAGAATCCAATCTTAGGATAAACTCTAAGAGTCCAAACTTCTTAATTATTATCCAAATATTGGGACCTTGGATAAACCCTGAGGTCCAAATCTTCTGATTATATAAAAAGCACATAATTAAAGACAACTTAAATCTTACATTGCCTTCTTCTCTAATAATTCTGTAGTAGTCTTCCGCGAAATAACAGGCTTCATTGACGTCCGCTATCCTTATCGTTCCAGTCTGAGAGGCGACAGCAATGCCGTCTGTACTGTACACCACCAAACGTATGTCTGTTGTGGGTAAAATGTCGAAGTCTATGTTATGCACAGAAGATGTTGTTAGGATCCCGGCTATAAAACAAAGCATACTCTTCTTAACTGTATAAATACTAGTAAACAGCTTGGTTCACTTGATGGCTAGACAGTCCAACTATAAAACTAATATGATTAATACATATTATGATATCATACTTTTTTTCAATGTACCTATAAGGCCATACAGCAAAAACTACCAGTATGTTTTGTACAAATAGAGCCTTCCTGAATTTACAGAAACTTTGATATATTTAATTTAAAAAAGAAAGTAAATATACAGTTCTTTATTTTAAAATATAGCATGTATACATGTAATTCAATTTTGTAGTTTATTTTTTGTATAATTTAATCAAAGTTGAGTATAAAGTGATCTTTTGAAATAATGACGACTCCTTCGTTCTTCCGCCGAAACATGGCTAAAAAATTGCCGACTCGACGTTAAACAATTTACAATCAATCAATCAATCAATCAATCAATCAAATTAACTCGTATACTATACACTTTAATACATTACATAAGGTTCAAAATGAAATGGAGACATAAGAAGTACTTGTTTAATAATATGTGTACCATTTGCATGAAATTAGCATCATGGAAATATGCTCAAAAGTCCAATTAAACATAACTAAATACAGAAAGAGCAAAGAATGCCTGAAAACATCAATTGTGTGTCGAATGCCATGGAGGTCTTGGCATACCATGTTGCTCAGTCACATTAACTGTGAACCTTTAAGCTTTGCCTTGATCGATCGAATATTTAATCCCCAGACAATATGTATGAAAATGATAGCCTATCAATTTAAATTGTAAATATTACACATTATTTGACGCTGTGGAGTTTTGTATGAACTCATTATACATGTATAAACCATAGCACCTGTAAGTTGCGAAATCAGGCTCAAAGACTGTTAAAAGCCTTGCATTATCAACTTTTCTGTCAATAACCTGACCGTTTCTAAGTTGTATAATCTATAAAATATCCTATATGCAAAGCCTCGAAAAGAATGGATTGTTTAATATGTAAAACTCACTTACATGATGGGTCAAGATTAAAGTATTTCATTCCGTAGGCTGGAGTAAATACACCATAAACTGACAGTGAGCTTGATTCGGCGTCTGAGACAGTAACTTGTAATACGGATTGTCCCAAGGGGGAATTTTCATTCACCGTGGTCAGTCCTAGGGTTGAAATAGATGGATCGCTGTTCCTGTCTAGATATTAAGTCTTCATTCTTTTATAAGTTCAACTATCACTGTAGCATCCTTGCAATAATTGATAATTAATTAATAATAATTAATATGATATAAAAAAAACTTTAAATACATACTTGTGATGGTGACACTGAGAGTATCTGAGTCTGCTGTTTGTGTATATTAGGCATCCCTTACTCTCACTGTTATAGTGTAGGACGATCGACTGTGTGTGATGAGACGTGACGTCACCAATATGGCGCCGGCTGAAATAATAAATATTAACAAAAATCAACCTTTGTATTTCTCTTTATATTTCTCAATCCATCAATCAATTTTCGAGGAGATTTAAAATCAAAAATACTGTGGTTTTCTTTGCCATCAATTTTCTGATTTAGGAAGATCTTTACTTAGGGTATCTGCAAATCGATTTTTCTAATAGTAAATGATTTGGTAAAGTATGGATGTCCTTGGATTTTTGCAATATTATCAACGTTTTTATTTTTTCAGCAAAGACACTAAATCCAATGCCTAGGCTACGGAAATTAAAGAAAACCCGACTGAATTTTGTACAACTTTTCAAAACTGATTTTGAAAATAAAAAGTAGAGCATTTATAAATCAATATTTACAATCAAGAATTTTAAACGGACATCCAGAAGGACTGCAGCTAAGAGAGTAAGTCATTGGGTCCCCTTCATTATCTGTGGCTGTGACGTTGTAAACAAGGTGACCAATCAAAACCGTCCTCGCATCTAACGTCACACTAACGCCTCCTCCTAAAACAAAATGTCTAAATATGTGAATGGCATTTGACAAATTAAATATATACGATATATATATATTCGTTTTTCTTTTGAAACAGTGTAAAAATTTACAGATAAGAAAAATGAGTACGTTCAAGGATGAACTAACGTCGTTGGCAGTTCTAAGTAAAGTTGCAGGCATTATACGTAGTCTATATCATTAAGATTTAAGGGAACATTTCTGACAAAAGCTTTTTTGAGATGGCAAGGACAAGTTTGTTACATGCTTAGAAAGCGTCAGATTTATACAGTGAAACCTGTCTAATCCGAAATGCTCTGAGAGACGAATTTTGTGTCAGAATAGGCAGGGTGTCGGATTGAACGGTGTAAAAATATTTTAAAAGGTAAAATGGGAAAGAAATATAAAATCGGAAAACACAGTATGACGAATTGTATAGGTATCGGATTAGACGGTTTTCCCTGTGTTTGAGTCCTGGGAAGAGATTTTTACCGAGGTTAGAAATGATAGGTCTGGCGTTAGGTGTCACTGTGACAGTGTGTGTTCTTACCGAGGTTAGAAATGACAGGTCTGGTGTTAGGTGTCACTGTGACAGTGTGTGTTCTTACCGAGGTTAGAAATGACAGGTCTGGTGTTAGGTGTCACTGTCACGGTGTGTGTCGCTGTTTTTGTATTGGTGCCGTCTGTACACTGCGCTGTCAGAGAGTAACTAGACGTCACTGCCGCGTCCAGCTCAGGCCATTTCCTCAAGTATAAACTATAGCCTACAAAGATAATTAACGAAAGTTCAGAAGGCTCATTCGAGATTCGAATTTTGAGATTTCAAATTCGAATTTCGAGAGAATCGGGTATACATCATAAATTGCTTAAAATGTATAAACTCTTTATCATAAGCACCAACAAGATGACATTAAACTTTATTTTCGAAATTTAAAAACATTCCATCCTATCAAAAGAATCATCAATGGTTATAGACGTATACATTTAGTCAAAGTGCCAGATTCTTTGCAAAATTAATAAATGATCAATTAGTTAAATTACATGTATAAAATTTGGTCATGATTAGGATAGTCTTGATTTGTCTAAAAATGTATAGCTCCTGTAGAAATCAGAAAAAATGTTCATCCCCAAGGTTGCGGAATAAACTACGTACCCAACACCCCAGTATTATTCTGTCGGACAGTAAATGGCACGTTGGTGGTCTGGAGTGAGCAAAAGTAATCACGCATTGGATCCGCCACCAGGATGTCCGCCAGCCATTCCTCGCTTACGGAATTTTCCAATACGGAGGATGAAGTAGGCGAAAATGACATCGTTATATCCTTCAAAGTACATGAAAAATATTATGCCGTTATGTTGTGTAAAAAAAAACATTGTTAATTTGCTATCTAGAGTCTTCGATACCAAACGTACCTTATAACAAAACTGGTCAATTTACCGTTTTTCTTAAATGCTTATCTAAACACGTACCGTATTGGTGACCGAAAACGTCACCGTGGCAGTAGCCTCTTCGTAACAACTGTCAATGGCCTTGACACCGACCTTGTATGTTGACCCCATGGGAATCCTGTCCTGTGCTGTCTTGATACGAACTAGAAAATTTTCAAATGAAAATAAACGACGAGAGACTCAGATGTTTGGCTTGACAAAGAGGTGTGTTTTGATTTGATTTATTCATAATTGAATAATTTTATTTCTTGTGAAAAACATGTTTTTAAAAAAGTCCTGATTCTATAGTAGGCTTTTTATAGCATACATGTTGAAGTGTCCACTGTAAAATATCCTGACGTTTCAGATTGCGTGAAAAGTGTGATGACGTCAGTACTATCCGCATCCGTAACAGTTAAGGACTGAACAACTGTGTCCTGGGGTGTTTCTTCGGGAAAAGTGACTAAACTTGGTACAGGAGCAAACGTTGGAGTCGAACCTGCATACAAAATGTACGTCGTATAAACTGGAAAATATCAGTTGTTCAAATTATAATGCACAATTAATATTAATTGAGAAGATGAAGTGTTTTCTATCTCATAGTATTGATTTCTACACCAGTATATTTTGTGTAAAATATTTCAGATGGGGGAAAACAAGTGTAAAATAAGAGGAGGATGAAAGAAATAGTTAATTAAAGGACTGTTAGAGATGTGGAGGTTAAACAAAAAAAAATTAAGGGAATCAAGAGATGATTAAAAGCTAGAGCTCTTGGGGATAGGGAAAGTAAAAATACCCCCACGCAGTTTTTTTTTACAGTTAACTTTCCTATTTACTTTGCTTTTAATAAAATTTCAAAATATAATTTTACTGGCTGAAACTGTTGCCCTAATGGCGTAGTTCCTAGATACGCCCTCTGGTGATACAGTGCTCCAGTCATGATGGGAACCAGTTTGTAATGTGGACATGGCGGCCTCCACTCTATTCAAGATGGCGGTACCCGCTGCATATTTCACTGAAGGACCATTACTCTGCCTGTTAGACCAAAAAATGGACCGGATGTTATTGGATACAATCACGATAGAAAATCTTATTGCTGTATTTTATATATTAACTAAAACTCTCAAAGCCAAGAGTGTTCTTACATTATAGTTACTTCCATGCAAGGTATTATGAACTAATTAGAAAAAAATTTGCTTTCGTAAACAGGATAAAAGAAAAATCAGGATGCAACAATGTGCAAGCGAAGGGCAAAAATGATTTTTTTTTTAATACACACACCATCCAATGTAATCTCCATGTTGCACCATTATTTTGTCTGCCGGAGAAAATGTGCCAGATCCTGTTTGATTAAAAAAAAGAGACGTGAAATGGTTTTTAAATAGTTTTAATTCATTATTTTAAATGCGTGATTACCATTACTAAATTTTAAAGTAAGATTTTTATTCATATAAAAATTGAATCACAAGGACATTGATTAACCTGCAGTAAAGGCATTTTGTCCCACAAGTTGGTAGACATCGGAGGAAAGCTTTCTCCAGACCTGGAATGTGATACCCCCTGACCCGGATGTAGAAATTTCCCAGGATGTGATTGTTCCACAACACGTGATCTGATAGAGGGGGTCCTCGATAAGGAAGGCGGAGCCTACAGAAAATATTAAACAGCGCCAGTCATAAATTTTACTATAAAGCATTTACATGTAATTAGCAAACATTTGCTATCAAATTGCAGTACGTTACATGACTGTATGAATTATGCAGATCATGTGCTCATCTACTTTCTAGTGTTGACGCTATATGTACTTACTCGTGTAGAGTTTACTACCTGAATTCTTTTTTCTACTAATACTGTTATTAAATGTGTCTATACTTTTGGGTGCTATGTCTATACTTACGGGTTTGTTTGTCCTTACCGGTACGCGTGTCTCCTACAGTATCTTAATCAACTGTGCCGCTTCAACATAAATACAAACATACATGCCTATACCGCTATTGTGTCTTCTAACATATACTTTTGCTTCCTTTTACAGTTGCGTCTGTTCACTTGCGCTGTGTCTCATTACCTGATTACTGCAGTTGCATTCACTTCATATACTTGTGCTGTATTTTTTTTTACTGGTGTTGCGTCTACTGTAGTTTCATCAATTTTCGTTGGCATCGTAGGTTTTGCAAAACAGACGTTTTCAAGGATACTTAATTTCGTGGAAAAATTAAAGCAGTGCTTATACAAATGAATAACATATTTCTTATTTCAATGAACATTGAATTTTGTGAATCTGCTCAACAACGAAATCTTCGAAAATTGGAGTTCAACGAATATTGATGAAACAACAGCATTTACTAGAATTGTGTCTTCTTACTATTTCTGATTCTACTTACATGTACATGTACTTGTTCTGTGCTTTTTTCAGCTGTTGCGTCGATGTATGTCGTTGTGTCTACAAACTATATAGCATTTACGTACTGTTGTGTCTGCTTACTGTTGATGTGTCTACTAACTGTTGTTGTGTCTATTTACTGTTGTTGTCTCTATTTACTGATGCATGTTGTATTTACTTACTGTTATGTCTACTAACTGTTGTGTCTACTGACTGTTGATGTGTCTACTGACTGTTGTTATGTCTATTTACTATTGTGTCTACTCACTGTTGTTTAGTCTACTTACTGTTGTTTTGTCTACTAACTGTTGTGTCTACTCACTGTTATATTGTGTTTACTTTCTGTTGTTGTGTCTACTTACTGTTGTTTTGTCTACTTACTGTTGTGTTGTGTTTACTTACTGTTGTTGTGTCTACTTACTGTTGTATCTGCTTACTGTTTTATTGTGTCTACTTACTGTTGTTGTGTCTACTTACTGTTGTTGTGTCTACTTACTGTTGTTGTGTCTACTAACTGTTGTTGTGTCTACTTACTGTTGTTGTGTCTACTTACTGTTGTTGTGTCTACTAACTGTTGTTGTGTCTACTAACTGTTGTTGTGTCTACTTACTGTTGTTGTGTCTACTTACTGTTGTTGTTTCTACTTACTGTTGTTGTGTCTACTAACTGTTGTATCTGCTTACTGTTTTATTGTGTCTACTTACTGTTGTTGTGTCTACTTACTGTTGTTGTTTCTACTTACTGTTGTTGTGTCTACTAACTGTTGTTGTGTCTACTAACTGTTGTTGTGTCTACTTACTGTTGTTGTGTCTACTTACTGTTGTTGTGTCTACTAACTGTTGTTGTGTCTACTTACTGTTGTGTCTACTTACTGTTGTTGTGTCTACTTACTGTTGTTGTGTCTACTTACTGTTGTTGTGTCTACTAACTGTAGTATCTGCTTACTGTTTTATTGTGTCTACTTACTGTTGTTGTAACTACTTACTGTTGTTGTGTCTACTAACTGTTGTTGTGTCTACTAACTGTTGTTGTGTCTACTTACTGTTGTTGTGTCTACTTACTGTTGTTATGTCTACTTACTTCTGTTGTGTATACTTACTGTTGTTGTGTCTACTAACTGTTGTTGTGTCTACATAACTTTACATATATAGGTATGTCATTTACTTTTCAAAGCATTCTTTTTCTTAATTTATTATTTGTTTAATTAATATCCTGCATATTTAAGTCACTCCCGTTCACTCGTGCTATTTTTAGAATATTTTGTTTATCCCGGGTCACTCGTTAGGAGTAATGGCCATTTAGGACATGTATATATGCGGGAGCTTATTATTTTATATAGTTTTTTTGGGGTGACTTCGCTCAAAAATTATTTCAGGATTAATTATATACAGTGTTTGATTATGTTGATTTTGATGATTCTTAATATGATTATGTGTAAATAAAAGTTGAACCGATAATAAGACTTGATTTCCAAGGAGGAAGTAAATCGCAGCCCTGGGGGCGATTAAGTACCTGGACTACGCCTTGAGCGTCTACCTGCAATAAAGACAAGTGGGTTAATTAATTTGTTTGGTAATTGCTCGGACGTTACCTGCATGGTACAGACAGAAATAAATGTGTTGACATTCATGCATTAGTATATACATTGACCGGAATATACGCTCGTACATATTTAATTGTAAATTATTTGCAGATATTTGCAAAACAAAATATATATATTTTCAATTTCAGTCTTTTTAGAACAAGTTAAAATTGATAATTTGAATTATTTTTTAATACATGTATTCTTACATGAGAGTTATGTTTCGATTGTGATATAAAAATTAAACATACATATAGTTTACGAGTTTCTTTCAACTTGCTAAAAGATTTACTTTTATGTTTCTAAAGAAATCAGTGCGCTTGATTGCATATATAAGTAAAGTCAACGTGTGAAAATGCAATGGGATGCTCAATCCTCCAAGACACCTAATCCCACCTCTGATGTTTCAAAGGGCCGAGTTTTCCCTGTTCCTTTTTTGTATTCATTGGAATTTTGAACTTGAATACCGCTCGTTATCTCCATACATTTCATCGTAACGCAAAATGATAGGCCTTTCAACTGCCGCTAGGGGTCGGTTTTATGAACGATAACTCACTGTTGAAACATGTTGAGAGCAGGCTGGGGTATCTAACTGTTTACACGTAAGGCAGTTTTTAGCATTTTTAAAGTGTTTCTTTACTCTCAGTAGAATCCAGTGGTTTTTAAATTTAGCACCAATGTTAAACTTATTTACTGTATAGTTGCGGACATCATTTCACTTCATATAATTAAAAGTTTTAATTAAAATAAAAAGTGAAATCTACCCTCCTTTAATAGCTACCTAGTTCTAACCTAATTAAATTTTTATACTTTATATAATTTATGCATTTTGCTTAGTAATACAAGAAAGATGATCAATTGCTGCATTTACTTGTAAAAATATAATATATTTATATAGGTAGCGAAAAAGCGCAAAACAAAAAAACATGACATGAAAGTTTCTTCTTCATAATAATCGTCAAAGAGAGTTAAAAATATTGAATTAGTTCATTTTTTGGACAAATTTTTGTCCTATTATTTCAGGTAGAGTGAAGGCATTCTCTCTCTCATGGTCAACACTTTTGTGTACAAAACAATGTAAGGAACCCTTTTTGTGTGCATAACAATACCAATTCTGAAGTAGCCTATATGTCATTCCTACAAACGATAACTCATAAATCGGCACTAAGTTGGTCACTTTTCACACCTGAGTTACCTATCCATAAAACACAACATCGGAAAAGTCAATTATAAATAATTAAACTTTTAAATGATGTTATCAAATGTATGCATAATTTATTATCTTTTTTGATAATTTCATGTACTTATAAATCTATCCATACAATGTTTTTTACCATATGTGCAACTTGAAAAATTAGTTGAAAGGCCTACAAAATGTTTAAAATACTTAATGAATCCACACAAATAAACATGCATAAAAAGTAATTAAGATATTGGATGTAAAGTACATGTATCTTTAAAAACTTACGCTGTGTGTCAGCTTTGTTCAAAAATGTGAACATTAATAGAATAATTAATTTGTTCCTTGTCGACTTCATTTTAATTTTAATTCACATTCCTTGTGACCAGTGATTTTTTTTATGACGTGAAGTCCTCTGTTTAATGTTCATTCCTTGATTGACTGATCTCATTCTTTATATTTAAAAGGAAACATGTTTCAAATGGTAAGATATGAATGAAAAAGTGAATGTATACTTTAAACTATAAACAGTTGCGACAAAATCATTACCGTGTAAAAAAACTAACGTGTAAGCAGGTTATATGACATTTTTATGAACAAAAGATTGAAATTGTTTATGAATATATCCATATAAATCATTTGCATAAAGTAGACGAAAGTTTATAAAATATTGTTTTATTGGTCTATGTATTACGTTATTTTTTATCATTTGATGAAAGATGCTATTTCTTCTGAAATCCATTTAAACAGGTAACATACGTGTGACTTTAAAAACCGGTTCCGATTGCTTTTTTGTTAGGTTAATGATAAGAGCATTATGGGTTTTCATAAGAAGTGAAGCAAACATATGTTGATTGACCCCCCTCCTTTTTTGCAGCTTATAATTATCACGGGTATATTAATTTGGAGAAATATTTTTGTCCCCCCAACTTTCATCAATTAAAAAACTTCGCTGTCCGTCTGTCAGCATATATATCCATTTAACCTTGCTCTAACTTTTGATTTAAAAATTTCACATGTGTATCCCTAGTGACAAGACCCTTTCTTTAGGTACCACCAAATTGACATTTTGACCTTGACTTTGGAGTTTGAGTGTACAAAAATTCTTTACTGTGGCCATAACTTTTGAATTGTAATTTCATATTTCACATTATGTATTCCTTGTGGCAAGACCTTTTATTGGATACCAACAACTTTAACCTTTAGACCTTGATCTTGGAGATTTCCGAACTTATGAAGAAACTTTTACCTTGGCCATAGCTTTTGAATGGTAAAGGCTAGGGCTTTCATACTTCACATATGTAATACTTGTGGCAAGACCTTTCATTGGATATAAAAAGTTCACCCTTTGACTTTGACCTTGGAGTTTAACCTACATTTTGAAAACTTTAACCTTGGCCATAACTTTTGTACGGTTCGGGCAAGGCCTTTTGTACTTTATATATATAATACTTGTGGCAAGTCCTCTCTTAAGAAACTACAATATATATTTAATTTGCATTGAAGAAAAGTTGAATTCCTTATAACTTTTGATTGAGAAGATGTATTAAGATTTGTATATTTGAAAAAAAAATTACCTATGCAATTTGACACAATATGTCAATAAAAAATGACATCCCATCCACAAAGACACCGAAAGCAGGGGATAAAAAATTTGCTTTTTAATTTTTTAAAAAATCATATAAAAAAAAAATATTACATTAACTCTATATGTCATATATATTTACAGTAAAATAGAGTTGTTTAAAATTTTACAAAGTCGACGTGATCCTCGTCATTTTCTTCCTTTACTGTACAATTCTTTTTCCTATGACAATCACAAATGAATGCGCGCTCGCCTGAAAACACGCACGTACATTGAAATTATCGAAGTTAATGACTCATCTTTCACCTGATAAAAATTTGGAAAGAATCAGATTAAAAAGCGTATACAGGTAAGAATGTAAGCTATATCTTTCTTTCCATAATGTACAATTTTTAATAATCAGATGTTTTTGGGGAGAGATAATTTGAATTATAGAAAGAAAAAAAAACATTTAAATTAATTTATTTTTTAAAAATCCGATGCATTATGTAATTAATAAGCACTACGGTTTGTCCCCAGAATTTAAAATACATATAATTCATTTCGAATAATCATATTACCATAAAACTACTTAGTATATGATTTGTAATTTTTTACATCACGGGAACACGTCATGTTTTTTTTTTATCCCTTTCTATTAAATTAAGAAGAAGAGATTTTCTTTGTAGTTTATTCCAAGGTCGATATTTTAAAACTTTTACATATATTGTTTCTGAAATAATTTTTCTAATTCTAAATTTACTTGCGTTATATATATTCAATATTTGCATGATTTTTTAAAAAATATATTGTTTTTGTAATGAGAACCAGAGGTAAAATGTATTTAAAAAAATATAATCGATTGGTCGTCATGATGAAATCAGTGGGCAGTATAGACGGGGGAATTAACATTTTTACATCGCTCCCAAATTCTCATCTCATCCTTATCAACTGTCTTTCTTTGTTTTAAAAAATCAATTATTAAAAAAAGTTAATAGAAAGTCTGCTTTAACGAGTTATCTTTCTTTCCCTGGAGAGGTCGCTCTCAGGTCACGTGAGTACAGAGATGACGTATGGAAGTAAATAGAACCAAAATATCAACAAAGTGTCGTGACTGCCTTGCAAAATAGTCTGAACTGCGCCATCAATTAAACATCTGGAAAATTCTTACAAATGGCGAGTATTTCGAAGCAAGAAGAATTTCAGGGTAGGTGGACACAGATGTCGAGAGTTTCAGGCTAAGATCATATAACAGGTGCCCGCGTTTTCTATCGATGTTTCGTCTACGTTTCATTGTTTTTAGTCTGCGCAGCCATTTGTCAAAGTGGGTTAACTAGACCTAGAATAGTCAGGTTATTAGCTTTCTGGAATGTAGACAGTGTTCCTGTATTTTATGACATGGAATTGGCACACAAATTCAGAGGAAAACAATCTATCACTACTTAAATGTATACGGTAAAACATAAGATAGGATTAAACTCGTTTTACAAGTGTTTGTACAATAGAACATCACCATACATGACAAATGCTGATTTGTAAGCACAGCCTTTTCTGTGGGGCAAGAGTGAAGAAAATTAAAATGGTATAGCTACATTGCCATATACGATTGCTTTAAAATATATATTTTTTGAACTTGTTCAATGAGGTTTGGGTGGGGTCAATGGGTACAGATGATGAAGCACATGCAGGGCTAGGTACATGTCTGTCTATTCAGTCACATAAATTGATGGACACTAATTGTGAAACAGGAATTTTAATTTAACTAGAATGTATTTCCCCAATCTCGACCGTCTTATCATTATAAATGTTAAAGTCGAGTAATTAGGGTCAAAACTAGAGGTACTGTGAGCAATGAGCTTAATTACTAAATGATACCCCCTGCCTCTCATATGAATATAATGGCAGTGTCCATGTTTTGCTACGGGAAACCCAAAATATGTGTCGGATCAGAAAGTAAGATAGAAGGCGCACGATGGCATTATGTAATAAAGATTCTCTGAAAGTCTCATTAAATTTCTTATGGTGGTATAAGAGGAGTTGCGGAAAAGAGATGGGTACCCCAAAGTATAACAGACAGACGAATATCCTGATTACTATATACCCTCCCGCTTTCCAAGCAGGGAGTATAATAAGAATTATGACCTTGATATTTTGATTCAAAATTAATTTGAACCCTTTGACTCAGACAGGGCTCGACGTTAACGCTTGTCCGCTTGTCCGGTACCAATGAAAAAAAATTACGGACAAGTGAATATTGCTGGACACTTGTCCGTTTGGACAAGTGATTTTTTATGTAAAGAAGTCTTCAAATAATGATACATGTAATAATTAAAAAAAAAAAAAACAACTAATGAACTATTGAAAAGTTTATTGAATAAAAATGGAAGGAGTACTTAAACCCGAATTTCGATCCTGATATCAATGGCTATGTAAGTTCACACTTGATCGGGATTGATGTTCACTAATTGCAGCATGGCGTGGATCTTATGACGTTTGCGGATTTGGAATATATTTGATTGATATTACAGATTCACTAGCGAACGTTTATGTTGTTGTCAGGGCAGGAAGTCTAGAGAAAATTTTGTTTTATATGTGTTTGGCTTATTTATCAATAATGACACTGATTAATCTGGCACATTTAATTTTTTAATTTAAGTAATTGTTTTCAAGTTGACAGAATATAAGATATTCATTGAAAAATTTCGGACAAGTGCAGTTGAAGTTCGGACAAGTAAATATCTTGGTCACTTGTCCGAATGGACAAGTAAGAAAAAAAGTTAATGTCGAGCCCTGTCAGAGATCTTTGGAGCACAGTATTCAGTAATAATATTTTGAACCTGCATGGGTTCCAAGCATCACACAGTAGGTCATAATAATTGTGACAGGCTATAGCATTCAAGTTAAGAGTTTTCACTAAAGGCATAGAGCTATAATAACTGTGACCTACAGTGCTATGCTCCTCTGCTAGATGAGATGAATCATGAATGTGACTTTTACTGTCTCAAGGCCAGGTTAAGGTGAATTAGGTTACATGTAACTACAACAATGAACATAACAAAGCATCCCTGAAATTTTTTGTATCATGTCTGCATGTGTTACATACATAGCCAAGTGAATATATACTACATGTACGTATTGATCGATAGCTTTCTTGCACATGCACAGGAAACAATGATGACATGTACATGCATTTGTCTGTTTATATTAATTATAGTTGCATGTTTAGGATTTATATATTTATAATTGATATCAAATAAACTACTGATAAAGCAAAAAACAGTATCAAACTAGAGGTACTGTGAGCAATGAGCTCACTAAATGATATCCTCTCCAGTCCTATATGAATATAATGGCAATGTCTATGTTTTGCCATGGGAAACTCGAAATATGTGTCGGATCAAAAAGTAAAATAAGAGGTGCACAATGGAAATATATAATAAAGATTCTTTGAAAGTCTCATCAAATTTCATTCAGTGGTATGAGAGGAATTGTGGATAAGAGATGCATGGCACCCCAAAGCATAACAGACGGATGGACATACAGAGGGACGGACAGACAGACAGACATCCCGATTACCATATACCCTCCCGCTTTTCAAGTGGGGGGTATAAAAAGCATTTTCTCAGTAAAGTTTTACTTGTGAAATTATCAATTTTATTTAATAAGTCAGCTGCCTGTCCTAGTTTCTTCATTTGAAAACCATGCATAATTTATACAAATGATATATTTTAAGATACCCTCTAAAATGGCCATATACAGTATTTCCTGCCACTGTCTATATTTTTCTGTATATAATATATACCAACTTGAAATCATTAGAAATATTTCATTCAGCAATTGTAGCAAATTAATATGAGTAATTATCACCCTTTCAAAATCAAAATGATCATGAAGTGCATTGCACACAAATAGTGCACCTAAATGTATATTATACAATAATTATACATGTGTGCAGCTATCAGAGTTACATGCTTGGTAATATCCCTGAAATACATACATATAGTTTACAATACATATACAGTGTATATGCATTCATAATTTTTAAAGTGTAATTCAATGCCAGCTTATCAGACAATTACTTTGGCCTTCACGGGCCCTATATATTGTTAAAGTAAACAATCAAACATATTCAGTTTTAGGAAGTAAGTTATTTGCAAAGGTATTATGTATGTGACAGGATGTAGCCTCTTCATCTTTTTAAGTTACACAATAATCATTCCTGTTGTTACACTAAACAATAAAAGAGATTTAATATATACATGCATTCACAGCTGAGTCTTAAATTTGCCTTGGAAACTGTGAGCTCTGCTATGCGATAGTTCTTGTCACATATAATTTGCATGTGCACTGCATACTTTCCAGAAATATCATATTGAACAATACATGTGTATGTCATTGAATCCTCTAGTAAACAATTGCTTCAAATGCAGAAGTGCATTATGTCGGTGAACTAGAAAGCTACGTGCAAGTCTGTGCATACAATAAATCATTCAATATATTATGCAGATTGTAAGTTTTTGGTGTAAAAATAGTGCACTTTCTTTATTAATCGTAAGGGCTTTGTCTGTCTTTCAAACAATTTATCATCAATAATATTTCAATTTTTTATATTTTACTACAAAATAAATCTACGTTAAATTAGTAATTTATTTATTTTTTTGTTTATTTGTTTTTTAAATCTACTTGAAAATAAGATATTAATTTTTATGTAATTTATCCAACCTTTTGTATATATTAAGTTTTACTTATATAATTGGAGATGGCCATGACCTTGTCATACTTGCAAGTAATTAACAATGACAGGTTTACAAGTATTAAAGGGAACAACTTGACTTTTACCATAAACTCCTGTTCAGATATAAGTTTGGTGCATGTATGTAAAGGTAATATTAACAGTATATATAGGACACTTACGAAAGTGTAATCCAGGTAAGGACGAATACATTACATAGGCGTTCACCAGTGGCTATCTCCATGACCCACATACTTGACCCATATCGAAAATAAATATAAAAATAATAGATTAAAATAATACAAAAATAATACAAAAAAAGTATATTTTTAATGACCAAATTTGGAACCCTTTTTATCTTGGTTCCAAATTAGGTCAAAAATAATACACTTTCTTAGAAATGAAACACAAAAAAATATATTTTTAATATACTTTATTTCTCAGTAAAAATACAAAAATAATACACTTGATGTATTTTTTCTGTACTCTTGTATTTTTTCTGTATTAAATCCTTATCCAAAGTACAAAAATAATACAATTTAGAAAAGAACTAAAAAATACAAAAATAATATAAAATGTATTAATTTTGTATCAGTCTATTATTTCTGTATTATTTGGAGCACCTTGAAAAAAAAAAATAGGAAAATAATACAAAATGTATTAATTTTGTATCAGACTATTATTTCTGTATTATTTGGAGCACCTTGAAAAAAAAAATAGGAAAATAATACAAAATGTATTAATTTTGTATCAGTCTATTATTTCTGTATTATTTGGAGCACCTTGAAAAAAAAATAGGAAAATAATACAAAATGTATTAATTTTGTATAAGTCTATTATTTCTGTATTATTTGGAGCACCTTGAAAAAAAAAAAAGGAAAATAATACAAAATGTATTAATTTTGTATCAGTCTATTATTTCTGTATTATTTGGAGCACCTTGAAAAAAAAATAGGAAAATAATACAAAATGTATTAATTTTGTATCAGTCTATTATTTCTGTATTATTTGGGGCACCTTGAAAAAAAAATAGGTAAAGAATACAAAATGTATTAATTTTGTATCAGTCTATTATTCCTGTATTAAAATCGATTTTAAAACAAAAAAAATCTAAAAATAATACATTCTGAAAGATACAAAAAAAATACATTTAGGAGTTCAAAAAAGGTACAAGAATGATAGGAAAAAAGTACATAAAAAAGCTTTAAATAATACAAAGCAGTGCCTAGAAAAGTACTAAAAACTTGAAAAACTTGTTCTTAAATGCAGCTTTTAATCAGATTTTAAAGAGAAATGGCTTTAGATTACTGATTTAGTTACTTTTTGTGCAATAATCTTGATCTTTTCTGTCTTACATACAGTATTCACTCTTCAATTGTCCTCATTTCTAAGTCATGTTTTATCAATCTTATTGTCTTTGTAAATTGTACATTTATAATGAGATATGAATTCAAAAGTCTAGATCTTCTCTCTGCTTTGGGGTTTCTTTTGCACAGCACTTTACTTTGTTGAAGAAGTACATCTCCAGTTTTCTCACTGTCATCCTGCTTGGTCCTGCATAATCTTAGACTACAAAATAGAATATCAAAATGTACTGGGGTATATCAAAAATAGATGCACAGACACACACAAAAAGATATCTTCACATGATTAGCTGATATTGTCATTTGTCAATGTTAGTATTGTTACACACCTGTAATGCTTCAAGGGGTAGGGTGGGTGGGTGTCCTATTCCTCTATAACTAATCAGCTTTTCTTCTTTGGCTCTGCAGAGGCACTCAAACTGTAAAAGTAATGATACTGATAAATGTTTTGCAGAACAGGTAGAAATAGTTATACAGACCATTAAAAAATGAAAATATAAAACTGTCAATACACCTCATTGGAATTGGGGTGGGGGGGGGGGTCATTTGATTTGAAATCTTAAACTGATATTGGGGAAGGGAAATATGGATCATCATATATTGATATAAAAAATAATTAGTTTGTGCCAAAAAAAATCTTTCTTACCACCTTCTTCTCAAGTCATTTTTTAAATAATTATAAGTATGCTAAACCATAAATCCATGAAGCTTAGTTGCAATGATTACCCCCCCCCCCCTTCACTTTTCAAAATTTAAATGGTTGTATGCCAAGATCATGAAGATGATATTATCTGTTATTATTCCATGTTTAGGCCTGAGGGATAGGGTGAAATTAATTTTTAAGTCATTTTTGGTCCATGTAAATAATATCATTTGCCATTGAACATGTTGAAAGCCCGTAATTATCCATACAACTCAAGATAGAAAGTAGCATAACAAAACTCTCTTTTGCCACAAATCCAACATGTCCAATATATCTGCATTCAATTTGACCTACTATTAGATAGAATGTTCTATCGTTAAAATGATATTGTCCTACGGACCCGGTTTAACTGAGGGCCTATACCGAGACACAGTTAGATTATTCTAACTAACCTACTATGAATTGGTTATAAAAGATATTATTAACATTTATTAATCTACACCTCACATTTTAAAAATTGAAACAACTGTGCTATTTTATGTAAAAATTCTTACCGCATATGGCGTTGTTTACACCAGGAAAGCCAGGGCATGATGCTTGAAAACGCCAACCTCCTTCCGTTTTCGCTTTTCTTTGTTTATAAATGTGATCCATGCTAACATGCTGTAGCTAAACATCTATTTTCTACCAATTTCATCGGCGAATATTAGCTAAATTTTATTAAACATCACCACCTCTCTCAATTCGGTTTGTCGATCTATTTTTCAAAATGGCGTGGGTAAATTACCGTTAACCAATCAGAGAAAAGCAAAGAAAAATTTTAAAATCTGACCAATCAAATAGCTCCTTATTTACGAAGATTGACGATTCTTAAATATAAAATATTTTTAACAGTCTAAGGAAATGTATTTACGTACGAAGTCTAATAAGTAGTATGGAATCAATTTAATAAACCCTTGATCATTACCAGAATAATTATTAGGAATCATTTCTTATAATCGTTATTTTTGTTTTGAAGAAATTTTCCGATTACAGATGAGAAAGATTTCTGGTCAGCTATATTGTTTTGTTTTTGTTTTTTTAATTATACAAGTTGACCTGTAAAGTAGACCATAAAGTTCAAGAAGAAGGATCAATTTAGTGTTAAATCTAAAGCAAAATAACAAGGTATAGAGCCATGCCCCCTTTTCTCGGCGCCATGTCCTTTTTTCCTAACAAAAAATTAATAAATATTCCCAGTGTAGGCAATATTCCTTAGCTGTTCTGTTTATTCAGTGCATACTGATAATCTCTCTTGTTTACATAACGCAACCAAGTGTGAATTCACGACAGGAAATCACTTCACGCTTGAACGCAGCACACAGCCACCTGGCTAATTAACATGCCTCAGGGTAGAAGATTTAACTTGAGAAACTGTCATTTGATTGCATTGATTATGCAAGAATTAGCCCAAGATCAAACATAATTAACTTGTAAATTATTAACTAATTAAAATCAGGATCGTTTTTTTTAAAACTGAAAGTAGAATTATAAACAAAGAGTTGAAGAAAAACTGATATTTTATCTGAATAAAAACAACTTACTTTGTACCAAAAACTGAATGTGATGTGACAAAAGGCTAAAAACAACAACCTAAGTTAGTTTCTTTGAATGTACTGATAAATTTGACAAGCTGAGGGTCAATGTTTCTTATTTAAACCATTTTTTTCAAAACAAATTTATACATGGCATTAATTTTTTTTTTTTTTGGGGGGGGGATCAATTTTCACTTGATAATGTTGGTAGAATATTTTCCAAGTAAAGAGAATAGTCTCTACATGTATTTTCCAACCCCCCCCCCCCCTCCTTCCCTGGAAAAAAGTATTTTCGTTTAATGTTTAATTAAATTGACAGTACTACTACACAAATAACACAGTCCAAGCAGGTTAAAAAAATTAATACCTCCAAACTTTAATAATTTTTGCACATGTTTCAGCTAACATTCTCTAGTGTAAATATCTATCTTAAACACACTGATAATTTAATTAGGAAACCTACTACTTGCACATCCCTTTCTAGACTTGAACATTGTAAGCTTATTTCTTGAAATTTATTTAGGATAATTTGAATATGATTCCTTCTCTGAGTGAAAAAAATGCACATATATACTAAAATCTGAAGAAAACATCGTATGCATGGTAATAGCTAGTTGGGACTTTCCATGTGCACAGGTAAATCACGTAATTTCTGAATTGTAGTATGATGCAATCATTTGTTAGCCTGCAAGATCACCTGTTGTGTGATAGATCTAAACACGTGAAAGATGTAAACCCGCTGAAAAGTTAATGTAAACCCGCTGTAAAATCTTCATGCCCAAGATGGAAATATTTCTCTGGATTACCACTGATTGAGATTAACATAAATTTTAGTACCAATTAATTATTTAAGTTCTAGATAATCGGATACCAAGATTCCTGAAAAAAAAATGTAATATAAATTTTCTAAGTACCGGGTATGCTATAAACTTATAAAAAAAAAGCAGCAGACATTTTGCAAGGAATTTCTCTAAAATTTATAAAGTTCATAAAGACAAATGTAAATAGAAAATATGTCTAAATTTACCCCCCCCCCCCCCCAACAACAAAAAGAAATAGAGACCAAATATATGGAATTTTCTGTAAATGTACTAAAATCAAATTTGAGACAAAAAATACTGACTGTCTTTCTGTAAAATTACCAAGTCCAAATTTAATATAAAAATAATACAGACAAACTCTGTAAAATTACTAAGTCTAAATTTGATATAAAAATAATACAGACAAACTGTCTGTAAAATTATTAAGTCCAAATTTAATACAGAAATGATACAGTCTAACTGTATAGACTTTTCTGTAAAATTACTAAGTTCAAATTTGATACAGAAAAAATACATCTGGAAAAAATTAAGTCCTGAAAAAATACAAAAATAATACACTGAAAATAATCTAAGTCCAAAAAAATACAAAAATAATACACTGAAAATAATCTAAGTTCAAATAAATACAAAAAAAATACACTGTACAAAATCAAAGTCAAATTTTAATACAAAAATGATATACTGAATTTTTTTTGATAGGAAAATAATATATTTTTTCTGTATTATTTTAAGAAAGTACAAAAATGAATGTATTAAAAGTATATTAAAAATATACTTTTCTGTATTATTTTTTGATATGGGTGACCTTTAATTTTTATGCCTCACCTGGTCTCTATAGCTTAGAGGAGCATAAAGAAATATTACGTCTTATGTGATAATCAGGGTTAATAAAGAGCAATTGAAGTTCAAAGATTAGCTTTAAGGGCATGAATACTAAGTCTAAACTTTAAAAAGAAATTATATAGAACCTGTAATAACTTTACAAATGTCTTTCATTCATGATTGTTAAATCATTTTGCATGTAAAATCCTCCTCTTAATTGATATTAAAGTTGCAAAAATTAATAAGTAGAAATTTAGAGAACAATTTAATATTTAATAGTTTTAATCGTATTATACACACACTACCAGAATTACATCATCATACATTGTATTAATTTTGTATCTAAGCTTTAGCAAAGTTGTCAAAGTCTTCACGTTAGCTCTCAACTGAATAAGTGTACGTTATTAAAACACACATTAGGCAATCAGTTACGATTATCCCATCTTATTGTAGATTCCTGGGTGGACCTGGAATCCAGTGGTCAGTCCACAGAAGCCATGACCTCCATCCACAATGGGAACTCAGAGGTGGAGAAGCTGTTGATTGAGGCTCAGAAGGAATCTCGCAGTCCCTCACGATCCAACAGCAAAGAAAGCTCAGCCAGAGGGAGGTAAGTTAGATACCCCCCCTCCAATCAGAAAGAATGAATCTCGAAGTCCCTCCTGAGCCAACAGCAAGGAATCCTTGGTAAGAGGGAGGTTAGATACCCCCTCCCCCCCAAACTTCAATCAGAAGGAATCTCGTCCCTCCGGGGCTTCTGAGCCAACTGCAAGGAATCCTCAGCTAGAGGGATCAAGGTAAGTTAAACACTCCCCCCCCCCACAATCAGAAGGATCAAATCTTGTAGATCCTCCCAAGCCGCAAAGGAACCCTCGGCCAAGGGAGGTAAGTAAAATATCCTCATCCCCCCAATCAGAAGGAATCTCGAAGTCCCTCCCAAGCCAACAGGAAGAAATCTTCAGTCAGGGGAAGGTAAGTATTATTCTCACCCTCCCAAAATCAGAACACCAGCAAGAATATGACAGTAGTTACTTATTTTCACTCTTCTGTCAAATAAAAACTCAAAGAATTTATGACTTGGGACTGTGGCCAATTATTCTCACCCTCCCACAATAAAAACCCTAAAGAATACACAACTGTATTGCCAATCGTATTTTAAGTCAGTTGAAATGCATGCATATTGGTTAATATTGATAGTGAAAAATATTACGTACACATTCATTCTCAAGTAACTGTTGCAGTTTTTTTTTTACTGTGACTTGAAGTCACTGTGGTGGTAAACATGATAAAGTTAAAATTTTTATCCAATGTCATGTGATTTTTATGCATAATTAAAATAAGAAATCAATGTAAATTAAATTAAAGACAAGTTATTTTTTGTAATGATTCATTGATTGGCTTTTTCTTCATTGTAGCCCCAAGAGTCCACACAGTCCAAACAATGAACTGCAGGAGCCCAGGGACCCGGGCACAGAGTGGATCTGGGACTGGTCAAGTCGGCCAGAGGCCAATCCTCCTATGTAAGTACAGTAAGGTCAAATCCTCCTATGTAAGTACAGTAAGTTCAATCCTCCTATGTAAGTACAGATAGGTCAATTCTCCTATGTGAGTAGAGTTAGGTCAATTCTCCATCCTCCTATGTAAGTACAGTAAGGTCATTCCTCCTATGTAAGTACAGATAGGTCAATCCTGCTATGTAAGTACAGTTAGGTCAATCCTCCTATGTAAGTACAGATAGACCCCCATGTAAGTACAGTTAGGTCAGTCGTACTTTGTAAGTACAGATAGGTCAATCCTCCTATGTAAGTACAGTTAGGTCAATCCTCCTATGTAAGTACAGTAAGGTCAATCCTCCTATGTAAGTACAGTTAGGTCAATCCTCCTATGTAAGTACAGTTAGGTCAATTCTCCTATGTAAGCACAGATAGGTCAATCCTCCTATGTAAGTACAGTTAGGTCAATCCTCCTATGTAAGTACAGTAAGGTCAATCCTCCTATGTAAGTACAGGTCAATTCTCCTATGTAAGTACAGATAGGTCAATCCTCCTATGTAAGTACAGTAAGGTCAATCCTCCTATGTAAGTACAGTAAGGTCAATCCTCCTATGTAAGTACAGATAGGTCAATCCTCAAATGTAAGTACAGATAGATCAATTCTCCTATGTAAGTACAGTAAGGTCAATCCTCCTATGTAAGTACGGTTAGGTCAATCCTCTTATCTAAGTACAGTAAGGTCAATCCTCCTATGTAAGTACAATAAGGTCAATCTTCCTATGTAAGTACAGATAGGTCAATCCTCCTATGTAAGAACAGTTAGGTCAATCCTTCTTTGTAAGTACAGTTGAGCTTGGCTAATCATCCTACTTAAGTTCAGTGAGCTACATTTATTCTCCTGTGTAGTAAATACAGTTGATCTAGGGCATTCTTCCAATTTAAGCACATCTGAGCTTAGACTTGTACAGTTCACAAAAACCTGTCATAATGGTGTAATAATGGCTAGAACTTATTAAGCCCCAAGACTTATAAGGCAAGCCTCAGCCTGTGTACCAGCTCTAAGCCAGACCTGGTACTAAATATCAAGTCAAATGCTACATGTATTGAACCAGTGGTGTTGTGATTAAACAAGTTTGACTGCATTGTTACAGAATACCCATTGTTTCCTTTATTCATTGTAGAGAATGGAAGGAGAGATTTAAGCGACCAGTCACCAGTGTTAGGAACACTCGAGTTATGAAGACCACCTTCTTCTCCTGGGAAAACTTGCCATATATTGTATGCAGTTCTACTATAGCCTTTATAAGTGGGGCTGCCATGTAAGTGTTTCTACTTTAAACGATCTTTGTGGGAAATTTACATTCTGATAGAATTATCAAGAAATAAACCCACCTAACATTCAAAGAGTTATCACAGAGAGAACAAATGGAAATATTCAATTTTAGGCTCTTTGTAGGAAGTTTAGATGGCTATTCAATGGGCAAGGTCTGTTTCTTATTTAAAGACTGGGTTGTCAAATGAATAGATAATTTTATAAATTGTTCTTATACATCTTTATAATTCTTCACACAGAATTTGATAAGTTTTGACCAGAAGTTTATTAATGATTTATCTTTATGTGTGTTTTAGGATGTTTCTTATAATGAGAAGATTGGGCAATAACAAACTATCCATCTAGTCTTCATCCAGAATTCACAGTCTGCTGCTGATATGACCACAGACAGTCCTGTAACAGACACACAGACAAAGTGAAAACTTCTCACCATTTTACAGTCAGATTTGTTTGTTTCCCAGTTAGGGAGGATTTTCTTGCATATGGTAGATGTACATATGCAAGATATGTTTGAATAATTTTTCATCTACTTTTTACATTAAGTATAACAATATTACATGTACAAACTGGAGTTTAGTTAATAATATGTATATTAAAGTTTGTGTGTGTGTGTAAAATTCATAGGCCATTGTCATTTTGAAACCCTGCATTTGTTAAAATTCTAAAAGCAAAATGCTCTGATTAAAAACTTTGAATAATGTGCATTGTACCTTAGATTATTATACATCGGTCTAATGTTAACAAATTCCCGTCCATATTTTGTTGAAAGCCGAACAGTATATATCTGTGCATTTTCTTCTTTTGCATTATCAATTTACGTATACACTGTATTATGTTGAATTCTGAAAAAAAAAAAATATGGGAAGCTGACCTACCTACAAATAAAGTGATGATTTTATTTTTCAAGCATTTTAACCAAGATCTTTCAATAAGAAAAACCTCTTAATGCAAAAATTATTTTATTCAGAATTATTTTACTTTCTATTAAAATTCAACTACAAACCACAAGTTTAGATAAATTACCTTGGTTAGGCAAAAACGATAAAGAATTGAAATGACAGTGTTTGGGTTTTTTTTTTAAATTTTATTTTTTAATTCCATTTCAAGTTCATATAAACAATTTCTATTTCGGTATATGGAGTGTTTTTATTTAAAATACCTTTTTCTCCTTGAAAAAAAAAGGAACTGTGTAAATATATACAGCTTTTTGTAGATACATTTATAGTGTTACATGTACATTTACCAATATTTATTCTTTTTATTTATTGATTTTCAAGAAAGTTGTCTCAAACTTTGGGATCCTCCCCATACAAAAAGAAATGAATTGGATCCATAGATAGTGCTATAGTTGCATAATGGGAGATCTTTTCATTTTGAATTTCATGAGATTCAGAGCCTCTCTTGTTTTCATGTACCGTATAATCATTGTGCTTCTCTCTGTTAGCAATTATGTATAATAGGTGTTATCCATTTATAATATTGTAGTGTATTAATTAAGCTATGTCCAAGTATATTGCAGGGTAAATTATATATACAGTATGTATATTAGATATTAATCCAATTTATAATATTGGCTAAACTATTAAACTTTAAATTAAGAAAATTATTCATTTTATTAATTATTTTGTTGAAAAAAAAACATTTTTTTTAATAACACAAATATTTTTAAAACCGAATATTGTTACTGGCTGGGTACCCTGCAATTTAACGACAAACTTGGATATAGCTTAGTAAATGTAGGAAAATGTATGTTTTTGAAATACTAATTCAATGTACTTGTAGTTTATACTCCATCTTCAAAACAATAGAAAGACTTCATTGTTGATTTCTAAATGTGGCCTTCTTCATGTTTTGGTAGTAATTAAGCTGATATTTAATTTTGTACACATGAAACTGTGTACTAGTTGCTATTTAAGTTTCTCAACTCATCAAACTCATCATTTTTTTAGCTATCCATTGACTTACAATTCAACTTAGTGCTATTTTTCTTCTTTTTTTTATTTTAAATTTAAAATCTCTCATTAAATGTGCCTCCAATTTAGATTTTTATTGATTACTTCATTAAATTTGGTTGATTTGAGTCACACATGTAACTGAATACATGGTATTACTATACATACTTTGTACATGTAGTTTGCATTATTTATATATTCATGTAGTAGATATTGTTATCTATAATAACTTTTAGTATAAGTACTTGCTCTTACATATTCCACTTCCTACGCACAAAGTCAGTTCACCTCAAAGTTATGTAATTTTGCATCTGAAAATAGAATTATTTGGTTGATCAAATACCAGTTACATGTATTTACATGATCATGACATGTAGATAACACACAAGAGTTGTTTACACTAAATTAAAGATTTTCCTCAATATATGTAATATACAAATACTACAAGATCTGATTTTTTTCTTTGCCAGTTTGAAAGAAAGTATTCAAAGCAAAGAATTAGGCATTTAATATTTTTTTAATAACAATTGTCCTGGTATCTCAATATTTGTTAAGATTTGGTTTAAAAAAAAATGCCATAATACATGTCATGCATATATTTTAATGAATCTAATTAAATCAGAGTTCTCTTTCCCACTTCAGACAAAAACACCTACCGGTAAGTTGGTTCTATGTCTTAACACATTTATTACTGGATTCCTCTAGGGGTTTTGACAGCATTAGTATTGTTGAAGACGGTTTCTCATTGAGTTTGTAAAATGTTTACCCTTTGAAGAATGCCTTTGAATGTTGAATTGTTGAACGATGTTGATTTTGTGAAATGTTATAGAGTGTGTGAACAGTATTGATGTTCATTTTGAAGGATTATTGTATCACCCATTTTTTTGTGCATAATTTTTGTTATGCAGATTGATGTACATGTAATTGTTGTAGATAGGGAAATGTCCTTGATTATGGTCTACTGATTGTGTTTATGAATGGTCTCCCCTTTGTTTATCACATGTACCTGCTTTATGTTTAGCAAAATTCTATTGGTCAATTTATTTGGTTTAAAATTTTTCTTTAGCACATACCAGATACCGTATATCAGGTTACTTTAGCGGGGTGCTAATTTTGGCTTTTTTATGATAGTCTGCTAAAATTTTAATTGATAAAATTGTCAGTACTCTTCTTAGTGTCCATCTGCAAAGAGCTGAAAAAAAAAAATTGGTTTATTGGCATACCTAAAATTTTTCGCCAAATTTTGCACATACCATAAAAACTTATGTTCTTGGTAATATGCACAAACATTTAGTTTGTCTTCGGCAACTCTCTATGTCTTATGTAGACATTTTTCAGTATACTGTAGACATGCTTTTTTCCATGTGGGTATAAAGTACGCTATGTACATAGTCACCAATTTCCTTGAAATATTTGTCACAGTGGGCTAGCATATTTTAAAAGTGCATCCAAGATTCGCAAGGCAATTCAAGAAATCCACAAAATTATCCCCATGGATAAAACAGAAATTGTGATTGTGCAAAATTTTGTCCTAGTGAAAAAAAAGTATGTTTTCTTATTTACATTTTACTGAATTAGTAGATTTGTTAGAAGGGTGAGTTTATTGTGAAAATTCACACTACACTTTCATTTTCCGCTCTGTACAAATAACTATGATTTTTTGGAGTGATAAACACCAAATTATGTAGTTGCATTAGGAATTCATGAGTATTTTGGACCACTGACATTGTAATATTCTTACATTCCAGTGTGTTGGTAGTAGACTAGGTCTGAATTTGTTTTCAAAAATATTTTTTTTTCAAGGTAAACAAGAGTTAAGTTATAAGAAATAAGTTAAAAGTTAAAAATTCTGTAAGATCCGGTGCTTAATTACTGAATTTTTTTTCTTGCTCACAATACATGTAATAATAGAAAAACAATCTACAATAAGTTTCCTAGTCATTTCTTCAATCAAATTTTTTCAATTTTTTAGCAAGTAATATGTCATCTTTGTTAGCTTAAAAACATTCATCTGCCAGGGCATACCAAGAACTTGTGCTGTACATGCTTAAATATATTGTATTAAAAAGTACTAACGCTACTTCATGGGAAAGAAAGGCAAAAAAATGTACGATTTTACATGAAAGAAAATTTTCACACTGTATCACATTAGTATAATGCTAGAATTGTATTTATTAAAATTAAGATAATGATTGCATTATTTATTGATTTTTTTTTTTTAACAAAACTGACATTCAACTATATAATGGTAGTTAGCAGTTCCTTTGTGTTTGACAGTCTTTACTCAAGAGAACAACGAAAAATTTATCTGAAAGGAGAAAGCTACAGAATTTGCTGCTTATGTCAAAATTTAAGCATTTTTTTTTTAAGTAGCATTTAAGTTCTGGTCAATTTATTTTTTATATGCATGACATACTAGCTCAAGTTCCAGTATCCCTGCTTTTAAATATTGTGAATCTATATCTGCTTTTGGGGAAAAAAAATTATTATGTCTTTTTTGATCTGTGCAAAATTACAACCTGCATGTTCAGTATTTAGTGCAATTAAATTAAAATGGATTTGGTGTATCATAATCTTGTGTTTTCTATTCATTAAAGAACAAACCATTGTTTGGTTATGCCAAAAAGGATGATGAATTATGATGTAGTTTTATTAACATGTTTGCAGAGCAATGAATTGGTCCAGGGAGTATATACTATTAACCCTTACATATAAAGGTCCCTGATTGGACTGACACAAAACAGTTGTCCAATATTCTTATGACGCACAGTCAAACCTCGATATCTCAAACTAGATGGGATAAAGAAAATTGAGATATCAGGGTAAAACAATGGTCTTAAGAAATAAGTGGTTAGAACTTCCAAATCACTTCGGCATATCCAACGTATTTGAAATATCACTGTTCAAGATACTGTAGTTCAACTGTCCTTTGTGTGGTAATATTGAAAAAGACCATGTTACAATATATATTTGAACCTCTGGAGGTGCCAGTGAACTAAGTTTAATGTCTGTCATTTTTAGCTCTACTGGTCAGAGACCAGAAGAGCTTATGCGATAGTAATGCGTCCGGCGTCCGTCCGTCTGTCCAGCTGTCTGTCCGTCTGTCTGTAAACAATTTTTCAAAATGCTACTCCTTTTACAGTTTTGATCTGATTTCAATATAACTTGGCACACAAGTAGACTACACATAAGATACATAATTCTGTGTATCAGTTTTTGATTTTGATAAACGGTGTTGCCGTGGTAACTAAAAATAGAAATTTCTGTGAAATTTCTTTAAAATGCTACTCCTCCTACAGTTTTGGTCTGATTTCAATATAACTTGGCACACAAGTATACACTAAGATACATAATTCTATGTATCGGTTTTTGCTTTCGATGAACGTTGTTGCCATGGTTACTAAAAATAGAAATTCCTGTGAAATTCTTTCAAAATGCTACTCCTCCTACAGTTTTGGTCTGATTTCAATATAACTTGGCACACAAGACTACACTATGATACATAATTCTGTTTATCAGTTTTTGATTTCGATGAACGTTGTTGCCGTGGTTACTAAAAATAGAAATTTCTGTGAAATTCCTTTAAAATGCTACTCCTCCTACAGTTTTGGTCTGATTTCAATATAACTTTGCACACTATCAGACTACACTCAGATACAAAATTCTGTGTATCAGTTTTTGATTTCGATGAACGTTGTTGCCCTGGTTACTAAAAATAGAAATTTCTGTGAAATTCCTTTAAATTGCTACTCCACATACAGTTTTGGTCTGATTTCAATATAACTTGGCACACAAGTAGACTACACTAAGATACATAATTTTCTCTATCTGTTTTTGATTTCGATGAACGTTGTTGCTGTGGTTACTAAAAATAGACATTTCTGTGAAATTCTTTGAAAATGCTACTCCTCCTACAGTTTTGGTCTGATTTCAATATAACTTGGCACACAAGTAGACTACACTAAGATACATAATTCTGTTTATCAGCTTTTGATTTCAATAAACGGTTTTGCCGTGGTAACTAAAAATAGAAATTGTGAAATTCCGTTAAAATGCTACTCCTCCTACAGTTTTGGTCTGATTTCAATATAACTTCGCAAACTTGTAGACTACACTAAGAACATAAAGAGACTTTATCAAGGATCATTATTCTATCTATTGCTGTTGTTAAGTTTCAATTCCCAACTGCTGAAGTACTTTTCTCTTCCTTTGCTATAAGTACAAACCAGTAGAGCTTCAGTTTCGACAGAGACTTCTGGTTTTTAAATGTCAAGCAGAATGTTCTCATTTAAGATGCTGAGCAGGTGAATTCTTCCTATATACAACCATATCCTGAGAAGTAAAATCGTTGATCTTAAAATCATTTATTTAGGGTGTCAGTGTGCCAGATATGAAGTTTGATGTATGTCAAGCAATTTTTAAGGTTAATTTCTTATAAAATGAAGTGGATATATGCATTGTTGTTCGAGCTTTGATCTCAAAATTATAAATTTTAAGGGTTCTCAAGATACTGAATGGACAAATAACACTTCATAACACCAACAAGTGCAAGCCAATACCCCCCCCCCTTTTTTAAATGTCATAAGATTAAAATTACCTTGAAGATAAATATATCCACAAATGAAGAATATTGACCAATGTAGTCTAAAACAACTACATGATGAAATAAATTAATTTTGTTACAACTCAACACATTCTTATGCCAAATTAAACTGATTTAATAAAATATCTGATTAATATAACAAATTCATTTTACATATTTATAAAAAAAAGTCAACAAATGATATAATAAAGTCAAAAAATGTCCAATATTTACGTAAGATGATATAAAAGCCAGCAAAATAAGCACTGATCAACATTCAACAGGTACATTTACAAATGGCGATATCAATATCAACAGTATATACAGTCATAAGCCAGGTATAAAACCAGGCAATTTATTTAAATTACTAAGTATGATCTTTGGTTTGCAATAGTTTAACCTGGGATTTTTCAGAGTTAAGTGGATTAGTTCCATGTACTCGAAAATATTTCTATTTGGTACAAAAATGAGCTTTGTTATTTAAACAATATGTACATATACTATAAAGCCATTCTAGAACATTTAGTGGTAAAGGGTATCTGAAATCAAACAATATCACAGAAAAAATTGCAATATTTTCATCCTTTTACACAAGAATGTCAACCTAAAATGGTCATAATTTTCTTGAATAAGAAGAAGAAACTGGCCAGGAAATGTTTTTTTTTAAACATATACCCCTGCTAAGAAAAAAAATCAAAACTAAAACCTTGTCCTTTGAAAAGATTAAGTAGTTTAAACCTTGTTAATTTTACAAAATTACCTTTTTTCACCTAACTTAAAATATAGATAAGGTTTTTGTCAGCTCATTCCAAAAATCATTTCTCTTAATCTGACAATTTTTAAAAGTCAAAGTAACCTTGTTAATTTTACAAAATTACTTTTTTTACCTAACTTAAAATAGATTGTGTTTTAGTTAGCTCATTCCAATTTTTTTTTCTATTAATCATAAATTTGACATTTTTTAGTCTAATATTAGACTCCAAACATAATTATTTCAAAAAATTGATAATTTATCTTAGTCACATTGGTGGCACATGCTTTACGATGTAAATGTTTAATGACCAGGGCACGGGACATAATAAAAACTCTTCAATTCTATATATGTATAGAGTCAGATAAAGCCATAAAGCTACAATTTCTATCAGCAAGAACAAAGATAAAATTGTTGGGGGGGGGGGGCAGCTCGTTTGCTCGATTTTTTAACACACGTTTTACATTAAAAAGATTCTTGCCAGCATCACGCCAATGCACACTTTTTACAACTATAATAATTGAAATTAAGTGAACATGAAATAAAGATTTATATACCGGTACATGTATACACATCATTACATGTAATTAAAAAAAATCAGAATTGGATCATTAGCACCACCTGCGATAAGTAAATTATTAATGTACTAAAATGAGCAAAATGACAAAACATGGCACAAACTTAATGACCCTGTCTTAGTATCTCTTTAAATTAATTATAAAATTTAATGTTGAGAGGTTGTTTTAAATGTGTTTTCATGTTTAATTTCAATTTTTTACATATTAAATGGACTGCTTATAAAAATGAATTTGTTGCATGCAAAACATTCATTGAAAAAATCATTATACACTGGATAATAGGAAATACAAGACATGTCATTGAATAATTATTTAAAATACAAATAACTACCTACAAACACAAATGTGAAAGAGTATACATTCATATATAAGCATTTATAGTTGAGCCTCATTTATCCGGACATTTGGTTCCTAAATTTGATATGTGAAATCCGGTATCAAACCAATTAAACAAGATAAAATAACATTAAAAAATTCTGTTCCAATGATAAGTCATCCAGATACTGAAGCATCTGGATATCTGAAGGTCCACTGTAAATATTTGGGACTGACTGTTACATGCCAAATCAATACGTCAGCTAACATTTTACAGTGCATCAATTTAAATCTTGTAATGTTTATTTTTTAATATTGTGGATTGTTAATGATATATTGAAATTTCATTCAAATTAAAAGTGTTTTGTAAACAGTCAAATTAGTAAGGCCAAAAAAAATAAATCATATATATTGCCGCATATAGCATTGCAATTTTATCAATATAAAAGGGAAGTAACTCAATTTTCTATTTTTCCAAGTTGAAAAAGAAAATCTTACTCCCCTTTTCATATATTTTTATTAGAAAAACAATATATTTGTTTTAAATCTAAAAGTATTTAATTGCAAAAAAAGATGTAAAACCTGCTTTCAAAAAAAAAAAAAAAAAAAAAAAAGCCTGCCTGCCGCATTGAGTTTTGAATTTTTTGGCCTGAGAAACAATTAATTAATTTTTTTTGGCCTAACCACTTATATATTAGAGCAAATATTTGGACTTATTCAAAGCAAGATTCAACAAGAGACATATAAGTGTAAATTTACAAGTAACATGGACAAAGCTTATACACATATCCCTTATGGTCCAACCATATCATCAAGAAATATGAGGGGTCAAGGGGAAATAACTAACAACTTTCTGTACAAAATGTACAAAATTCATAAAGATAAAGCAGTACAAATGTATGATATAAAACAAAAACAAAAAAAGAGAATATTTATAATGTGGAGGAAACACATTACTGAAATAAGAAGTAATACAATATGCAAAAGCACCAATATCATGGAAATAATGTAAGCAAGTACAGGTATCCCAAATAAAGTAAAGCTACAGTCCATGCACAGACAGGATATTCATAAACAGATTCAAATAATATTAAACTCCTTATAAGTAAAACAAAAAAAGAATATGATAAAAAAAATGACAGATCAAAAAAATATAAATGGAATGTCACAGTCTCTGTGTTGTGTGCATAGATGAAAAAAAAATAGTCAAAATTATCACAAATCTTAGCCATGGGCCCCAAAATATAACACATGTACACCATGTGTAGGATAAAAATAACATTACACTTTGTGTCAAGTCGTTATTACACTATGGTGGGTGACAGAGTCCATCATTTCTAATGAAATGCATAATTTGTATAGATATTATCTGACATAAGTTCATTGGTATTATTTACGTAAAGTTCACTGGGGTCGTCAGAATTAGGATTCAGGATTTGATCAAATTTGTCACCAATCTCCGATACTTTCAAGCGATGGCTACTTTGTTTGTCCCAGCAACGCAGCATGACTTCATTATATCTGAAAATTGATATCAATTGTTACTTCAAACCTCTTTGATTAAGATTCATAAACCCTCTGCTCACTTGTATAAAATGTTGAACCTTGATGATTTTCCAAAAGAAATGTATTTAATAATAAGTAAAATACAAACAATTATAGCATAGCTCACAGGGCAAAATTGGACAAAAAAAAGACACTTCAACTTGGCGATTCTATAAACTTAAGGAATAATAGACATTTATGTCTTTAAGAGTTATCTCTCTTATCAGAGTATCAATGACCCTTAAATCTCTCAATACACGTATAATACATATATGCACGAATAAACATCTATCATTTACAAGGCTGACTTACAAAGCATTTGTTGCTTTTTCGGGTTTTCCCAGTATGTATCCTGCCTCAACATGGTTCTGGATTTTAGCGTCCTCGGTGATTTCATGGAACGGCAGATATAAACAGGACGACATAATTTCCCAGATAAGTACACCAAACGACCACTACAGGAGAAAGTGTCAGTCACTTTATTAGTGCTGTCCAAGATTATGCAAGTGTCAAATAAACATTTTTCACAAACTTTTACAATGGCAAAAGAATATTATACTTATAAGAGAGAAAAGTACAGTTATACATGTTTTTACTAAATAATGTTGAATTACATAACCTCCAATTTCCTCCAGCTATAAATCTAGAAAAATATCAATTCATATGCAATAAAACATAAAAGCAGCAAGTATTAAGTATCAGCGATTTTTTTCCACCCATTGGGAAAGGGTCGATTCAATGGGAAAAATAACATCCGCAAGAAAAACAAAGGAGAATTTTCTCTTATTTATGCAAATGCAATGTATTTTGGGTTTATTCCTACTTAATTACCTATTACTGCTTGTTTAAAGAATAAACAACAAGTACTTATTGTTTTTATATCAACGTCCCTTGTTTTCACATTGTCATGCTTTCAATTTGTCAAAATATACATGTATATGACACTACGCTGTCTACACCACTGCTCCCGCCAAATTACGACTTTCTCTGCTTTCGATTTAAGCAGAAGTGAAGCAATTAGTCAACTTGTACAATGTTTCATTTAACAAGAAATACGATGTCGTCGTAATCTTTTACTTCACATTTGAATTGGGAATTTTTAGTCACAGAATTGGGAAAAATTAACGTTTTTTGGCATTGGGAACGGTCCATTGAACGGTACCAGTTATATAAGGAAAAAAAACCTGTATAATTAAACATCTGAAGATTTGTAAAACACTTATGCCCCCGCGGACAAGCTCTCGGAATTTTTCCATCCAAAAGGGCAGGTAACTCTCGCGGCGATTGTCGTACATGTACTCCTCAGGGTACAAGTTCCAGGAGAAAGCGGCATCCGTTACCATGATTCTGTCATCATCACACACTCTATAAAACCAGAGGTTGTACATAATTACATCTGATTAATTTAATTCACAGGCAATCAATGAATTAAAATGATCTCAGAAATTTAACGCAATGCTGTCAAAAAAGCTCAATTTCACATGGCTGTATATCAATTGTTCTGGTACATATTTATGAGAGAAATTATTAAAGCGGCAAAACTATATGCCCCTTGATTTCTCCTCATGAATGACATTAAAAACAGTATGACATATCCACAAATATATTTCTATGCTCTAAACACATTCAGAAGTTAATTGGGGCCCCGCTTGGCGGGCACCCTATAGTGATCAGTCTGTCCGCCCGTCCGGCTGTCCGTCCGTCCGTCCGAGATCTCTTGTCCGGGGCATATCTTCATAACTGAATTATATGAAAAATCCTTGTCCGGAGCATATCTTCTCTCTCCTTGGCCCAATCTGGCTCATACTTCACCCACCGAGTGCCTTTGGGTAACCGATGTGCAGTGACCTTGAACCAGGTTTCTAGGTTAAAGGTCAAGGTCATAGCTGAATTATATGAAAAATCTCTGTCCGGAGTGTATCTACTCTCTCCTTGGCCCAATCTGGCTCATACTTCACCCACAGAGTGCCTTTGGGTAACCAATGTGCAGTGACCTTGAACCAGGTTTCTAGGTTAAAGTTCAAGACCATAGCTGAATTATATGAAAAATCCTAGTCCGGAGCATATCTTCTCTCTCCTTGGCCCAATCTGGCTCATACTTCACCCCCAATCTGGCTATTACGTCACTCAGAGATCCACTGGTCAAAGGATGTGCAGTGACCTTGGTCGAAGTTTCTAGGTCATGGTCAGAATTACCCTTTCTATTTAAAATCTGTTTGGTGCATACTGTAATTCTTTGCCTTTAATTCCAGTAAATTTATATAAATCGGGATACAAGATAAATATTAGTAAATTTGCAGTATCCGTGAAGTCGTACTAAATGACTTTTACTGTATAACACAAATGTTCCTCTTCAAAATAATCCCTTTTAAGTGACCTTACATTTTCACGTTCATTGTTGAACGCGGGGCCCTTTGAGATGGCCACCAGCTCAATGATATCTAGTTGACACTCAAATTCATTGCACACATCTTAGTGAAGCTCTGAGGGTAAAATCTGAAGGTTTTGACCCATGCCTGGAATTTTCAAAATCAATTTGTAAAATTTCATTTTTAAAAATTATGGATTCGAAGTGATGTGAAGTCCCAACCACATACTTTTTTAATCACACCCCCAACGTATTATTCCAGAAAAGTTTGACTGTATTACAATATGGCAAGAATGTGAAATTCAAAACATTATAAAATTATTTATTTTTAAATCAGTGCTCTTACACACAGTTCCTACTGCCAATCCTTGTGTCTTTTTGTTGTGTCAAAAAAATGTACAGCCTCTAGTTACACATTTATCTAGAGAGTGTGATCCTGAGAAGACAAACTCAATTTATAGGAAATCCATAACTTGCAGAAAATGGAAAATTTTTTATTTCAGTTATTATTAGGTTTATCTGATTCAACTGCACCATGTTATTTCCCTCAATTATTGATTATGATTTTCAAATTAAAAGGCACAGTTTTTTCTGTGTTACTATAACTCTGATCATCATAAATGATAAATTTTTTGAATTTTAAGTCTTTTCCTTATATACTTTTTTCCTAAAAGTATTTTATAAAGTTAACTTTAAAATCTGTTATCTCAGTCCCATTAGGTTCATGTATGCAGATATCTGTAATAAAATTTATTTGAATGTTAAATTCAAAACATAATGAAATTATTTATCTTTAAATCAGTCAGTGGAACTTACACACAGTTCCTAGCTGCCAGATCTTTGTGTACTATGTCTATGTTGTGTAGAAACTGTACAGCCTCTAAGATCTGCACACATTTATCTAGGAGTAATGCGTCTGTTAGATCCTGAAAGGAAGACAAACTCAGTTTATAGAGAAATCCATAACTTCAGAAAATGGAACAGTATACATATTTTCCCTTTCCTTTTATTTATTATTGGGTTTATTTGATTCAACTGCTCCATGTAAGAGTAAATAAAGAGAAAAATCAATTCTTGTATAAAATTTTCAAACATCGAAAAGGCAATTTTTTTCTGTGTTACTATACTTTGATCATCATAAATGATACATCTTTTTGAATTTTATCTTTTCCTTATATACTTTTATGCAATTCCTATCATCACTTTGTATAAAGTTAACTTTAAAATCTGTTAACTCGAGACATTATACATGTATGCATGATATCTTGGTAATAAAATGATGGTCAAATAAAGAATATACCAGTTATTAACATATTTGTAAAACAAATTTTAAGAACATTAGTTTAATTGACACTTACATTATTTTTGTCACTGAGGTAATCTTTCAGACTACGCTTAAATCCTGGATACGTAATATAAAATCGATCTTTATCGGTGGCGATTCCTTTTATCTGTAAAATATTCTCATCGAAGGCATCTCGAAATCTCAGACATTCCTGTAAGCCAGTGTTCACCCAATCAGGAAGCAAGTCATTCTCTGTAATATAAATTCAATCAACCAATTACACACATATGTCTCTTCATATATAAACATTTCAGATTCAGAGATCTCTTAACTATGAATGCCTTAAAAGGACTCTAGTGGGATGATCTTTGAAACTCTACAAAAAGTGTCTTAATATCTTACAATATGGAAAATACTACTGAAATATCAAGCCTATGACTTTGTCAGGGATTTCTTTGCCCTTTTGCTTAAACAAGGTACTTTTGGTCATATGATCATGATAAAACTGAATATGCACATATATTCCAAGTAAGAAAAGTTTTTTTCATACCAAAATTACTGTAGGAGTTGACAAGTGTCTTAATCATTGCTGGGCGTCCAGCGTATGGTTTCCCCGTCCCCTGTGCAAAGTTCCCGTCTACGATGCGGATTTCACTTCCTGAAAATGACATAATATTTCATAAAGGTATTTACATAAAATATATAGGTCTAGTTCTATACTTAATATAAACATTTTTTTTGTTTTACACAATTCATAAACATGATAAATAAAAAACTTTTTTTTATTTTAAAATTTTTTAATTGTTAAGTTAAAGTGAGCATTGCTGTTTTACATAAGAATTTGATATAATTATGATTAATGATCTCATGTATGTTTAATCAATTGTTGAAAATTGCTTTCATAAAGTTATCTTAATTGATACCTGAAGAAATTTATTCAAGAAAATTACAATCATTTTGAAATCAATGTTAAGAAGAAAATCATTCATAAAAGTATGTTTTGGCCAAAGTTGTATGTTCCTTTGCAAAACAGGGCAGCCAGAAGTCTTCAATAAAACTATAACAGCTTCACCTGTATTTTCATGATTTTACTTAATATTTACACACAGGAAAATGGAAGGTCTATAAGACACAATGCTAACTTTTTTGTTCCCTTGAAAAATTCTGACTTCATCTGGTAACCCAGATGGAGCATTACCAGATGGAGCCCTGAAGGGTTATGTGAATTAATTATAACCAAACTTGAAGCAGATAAATCTACTTGACGTGCAAAAACTTTTAATAAAATTGGACCAAAATTGTTCAAGGAGTACTAGCTGTAGCACTTTTAGCGAAGTTTAAAGAAATTACAATTTTTAGTATCCAAGGCAACAGTCCTTTTAAAAGAAGTCAAGAATTATTCTTAGTTTTGTTATCAAACTCTTTCTTTTTCAATTAAGGAAGTTTAAATGATATCCAACATGTCTAATGCAATCTTGATTAAAAATTGTTTACAGACAAATAAACACATTAATCATTTCCATACCATTGCATAAGCTCTTCTGATCTCACAGCTTCTAATTTATAATGTTGAGAACTCTACATTTTACGCAATTTATATACTTGTATATTAAGATCTGAATAACCAAAGAGCTGTCAATTATTTAGCAGATAGACTAAGTTTTCAGTATAACCTTTCTTGATACATCGAGTCCCTACGACAACATCTGATTTTTCCATGTGGCTGGCGTTCAACATTTTCCTTACCGATTGGTTGACCTTGTGTATAAAACTGTCCCAGCATTCCTGAAAAATAATTTCCGAATAGGTTAACAAAGCAATGGTAATTTTTGTTTTTTTACAAGATGTATTTGAGAAACACTGATGCCCCTGTATGGTACCCCATAGCCAAGAATAATTTTTCACAACTGAAGATAAAATTCCAACTTCAAGGTTAAGATCAAAATTCTTTTGCCATATCCCAAAGAAAGATCTTGTCACATATCTAGCAACACAAAAACCCTAGCACAAACCATACAGAAAAATTGGCAAAGGGTTAAAAGTTTTTTTTCAAAAGAAGGTCCTATTCAAACTAAGGTTGAGGTCACGAGGTCAAAAATTTTAATACTGTACCAAAGAAAAGGTCTTGTCACACGAAAAAAACATTGCATGTGTTAAGTGAAATATGAAACTCCTTCCACCATCTGTTCAAATTTCACAGGAGGGGATAACAAAGCTTCACATCTATCTGACAGTGGTGGTTTTGGATGAACATGATTGTAAGATCAAATGAATTTTAAATGATATAATACTGGTACTGGTTCATATAGCTGAGGGTATATAATTCTCAGCAGGACACTTAAAATATAAGAAAATAGATATTTCTGTGAACAACTATTTTTTCAATTTCAACCAACTGAAGTATTGGGGGGGAGGTGGGTTGAATAATTACTGTAAACCAACCTTTATTCGCGTGTGAGAAATATCTGTGAGTTCCGCGACTTACTCTAAATTGCGAATATAAATCGTCGTGAACCATTCATTTTCCTGAAGTATTTGTAGAGAACGTTTCCTCAGTCGCGTAAATTAATTGTAGCAGATTGATTTCAAATTGACTAATTGCGAATAAATGATGACGTGTATGATGGTTTAGGTACAGTACATTGCTACAAGAGTACCAACCTTTTCAAGTTGAACTCCTTCATAACTGTTGGGTCGTGCTCTGGGACGATTTTGAGAATCCAGTAAACCAATACTATCAAAGTTATCCAAAGGAGTGACAGTGACACCTGATTGGTCTGAAAAAGTTAGTTTTAAAGAACATCATGTCATTATAACTTGTCTGACTTCCACAATGCAGTACAGAAATACATGAAATGGCATGCAAAATGATGAAACCATTCTTGAACGTTTAATTTCTACTTTGCTTTCAACAGTGCATGGTTCACAAAACATAAGTATAATATATACAATGTACCCAAGAATAATCTGTTAGTGCTAAATTAGTAGGACACATGAAGGCTTATTATGTTTTCTGCATTGAACTCACCGTTTGTCAAAAGACCGTTTTCGTTGGATATTGTCTCTACCTTCTTGTTGCGACAGAGGCAGCAAAGGATGATGGGAAGAAGAATAACAAGAAGTAAAAATATGGATCCACCCACAGCAATTAGTATGAACTGCCAGGTACTCCAGAACTGGTATAAGGTGACTCTCTGTATGTTATACTCATGTCCTCCTATGTATAACTAGAATACAAACAAAACATAACAATGACTCTATAATTCTGATTTAATGCTGTAGTGGCTTTCTTTCATGACAGTTCTATTGGTGCAGAATACATAGAAATCAGGCTGGATTTGGCAACATTCCAGATTTGACAATATTGTAAATAATTATAAAGTTCTACTGTAATGGGACGTAATTTACATAGTTTTAGACAAGATTACACACACTTGATTAAACAGGTTCCACTGACTACTTGTTTCTCTAGGTGGACAATATTGATTTCAGGTACATTGTATATTAAAGTTCAGGCTTTTTGACATATAAATTTTTTTTAAAGAGAAGTGCATGAATTTAGTTTCATCTATTAATTTCATCTCAATTTTGCCTACAGTACAAGATGACTAAATTGTGTTTCTGGTTCCCTGGCCATGATTTATCCACTCATATCTTTCCATGTTAGGAGTAAATTAATTCCAGTTTCACTATATGAAATCCTAATCTCGATCACTTCAGTGTTTGAGAAAATGCATATTTCCAAAACACATCAATAAGAAATGTTTCGAAAATAATTTTTCTGGAAAATAATGGCAGCGTGCTTGCTAATTAAAATTTAAGGTATTCAATCCCTAATACGAACAAATTCAATGAAATTGAATACACAACAGATATGTAGGCATTGAATACTCAGTTTATTTAGACATAGTTCCCATTTATTATTATTAGTATTATAGTGGGAAGTGTCCTAATCTATGACCTTGAATTTAGGTAAGAGTTACATGTGTATCTCCCCCTATTTTATTAATAAATAAAATCAATTAAACAAATTTTAGTCAGTAAAAAATTGTTTTCAATTGTAATTCTATTTTTAATGTTTCAATGCATCTCTCCACTGCAGGATTTATTGATATTCAAATTATTTGAATTTTTATTTTCAGTTGAATAAATGCTTTTCCCCAATAGACTTCAATACACTCTTTGTTAATTAACTATTGCTTAATTAATGAAATTTTTTAAACTTTCTCGTGGGCAATCCTTTTCCACTATAAAATGCTTTAATATAATATCAGAGTATTATGTACTTGACGGACATTTAAGTGTATAGAATTTGGTCCTATTTAGGGATGGGAATCCTTAGAATAAAACATTTTCCCTAACCACCTACCCTTTATTTTCTCAGGTTGGAAACAGGAAACACACAATTTATTTATCTTGGCCTTACCATCATATCAACTTCCTCATCTACGCCAGGAAATCCGATATCCGGCTCACATTTAATCAAGTTCCTCCCACGGCTAGTTATCACACATGGGTAACTACTGGAGGCCCCCTTCAACTCCACTCTGAAGTCGGAGTCCGCACATCCAGAGGTGAACTCCTGGCCCTAAAATGACACACAAAAATCAAAGTACTGAAAGTAATGGTAAACGCTAAGAAAAGTTGCACACAAAATTCTATTAACCAGTTAACCATGGGGAGATTTTTGGTATTTTGGTGAGAAATGATGCATTAACAATGCATTTTTGACAATTTGAATTTTTATTTTAAGCACTTTAAATAATTTCAAACAAATTGCTTGCAAATAGATTTTTTTAAATTTTGACATTGTGAATATACCCATCAGTTTTCATCGTACATGAGATTTCATGATAAACATGACCAAAGGCCAATGAAAAAATTAAAAATCATATTTAACCAAAAATAAAATTCTCTTATAAATATATTAAAAGCATGTTTTAATGTACCTCAATTTGCAGCTCAACTTTAAAGACTGGCCTGTACTCCTGATTTTCATCTACCTCTCGTGTTGGTACAGGATCGGTAACAATATTAATCTGAGCATTTGAGAATGTACTGTTAGCTTCGTACATTGTCGTGCCATCTAATCCTACACCAAATCTCAAAACAGTGCCTGGGCTGTATCCACTTGGAGAGTTACAAAGGATTTCTGTGCTGCTTGAAACAGAACATTGCTGAAAGAGGGGTTAAAAAAGTTTACTACGCCATTAATTGATTATGTTTATTTATATGTAATACCAGGGATTTATCTAGCTATTTTGTTTTACTACCGTTTTATATGTAAAGGGGAAAAATGAGAGCCGCAGGCTCGATCTGAGCGCCGGAGGCGCGAGTATTCTATGGGGGTCCGGGGGCATGCTCCCCCGGAAAATTTTTAAATAAATGGAGCAAAATCCTGCATTCTTAGAGCTTCTGAGGGTCATTTGTAGACCTTTACAAAGGCCACAAAAACTTCACTTTTTAGGCAAAAAACTAAATAACACACACAAAAAAAATTTAACCAGGTCAGGACTTTATTTAATTTTTTCTCTAAATATCTATCACAAATCAATTCTGTTTTTCATGTTTCACTACTAACATTGTTTTTGTTGTTACTCCATTCTTCCGATTCATAGTGATATAAGCTCCATCTTACTCATCTACACTTTTCTCTTTAACTCTGCAATCGCACGCGTATCTTTCGACATCATGGACTTGGCACATGTTTACCGATCAATATCAAATAAAAGCTTGAATAATATATTCTTTCTTCTAAAAGCGTTTGAATGACTAGGATGGTAAATTAGCTGTAAAACTTCAATCGGACAAAAACGGAAAATTTCAGAACGATGTTTTAAATATTCTCCGTTTAATCGGAGAATTTTCTATCTGAAAAAGGGGAATTTTTGCACCTTTTTCAAGAGGGGAAAGGTACCGTTTACCGGTAGTAAAAACAGCCTTGATAAATCCCTGAATACCTATCAATTGTTTGGTATTTTTAGAACTTAAACTAAACAAGAGGCCCATGGGCCACAATTCCCACCTGATTAACTTTGGCCCCTACTTTTCTTCACCAGTTTTTCCCACTTGTTATACTTAATGAGGCCTCATCCTACCATTTGGCTCATGTTTTAAACAATTTAAAATCTAGTAAATTACATTAGGCCTACAAAAATTAATCAATAGTTTCTCAGGCACCGCCGCATCAGTTAAAAAACAGCTGCATTGACCATTTTTATCGACATATTGAAAAGGGAAATAACTCAGTTTTTATTTTTCCAAGTTGAAAAAGAAAATCGAGTTATTCCCCTTTTCACAAATGCTAAGATAGCTGTTTTTATTAGAAAACCAATATATTTCTTCTAAATTTACAGTATTTTATGAATTAACTTTTAAATAAATGTTGAGAATAACAATATTTAAAGTTGAATAGATATTAGTACATGTATAACTATTTTCGGAGAACAAAAATTAAGAATACAATGTAAGTAGATATACCTGGTAAGGCCAAACAAAAAAATAACTTTGTTTACTGTTACATGCTGAAATAAAATAGGGTTGGTAGGTAGGAATTTTTTTTTATTTTATTGAATTTTTTTCATACACAAATTCACATGAATTGGTTGAATTACAAAACAGTTTTACCATTGTACCGTGCCTTAATTTTGTTTGGGCTTGTAATATGGGTGGTAGACAATATAATCTTTCTTGCCAACTGCCTTACAACTCAGGGGTGTGCAATTAAAAAAAAATCAAGTACTAACCCACAGGCTTGTAACAACAATAAAGTTATTAGTCCGAAGTTAAAAGTGACCAGTCCAAATATTGGGGCAAAAAACTGTAAAAACTAATATTTTAAAAAGTTCATAGTTGAGAAAGCTAGGGTCCTAAGCCATTCCTTTTAAAGTTGAAGTTTAAAACTTTTAAGAAATTATCTTTTCTTTTCTGAACATATTGCACTACTCTAGCTTATCTAAAATGAAGCAAAAATCATTTTATTTTCATTTCAAACCATTAAGTATAATTGATATATATTAGAGTTTAATCACATAACACTTAGCTATCATTTGATTTGGGGATCGTATATAATTGAAAGAGATATCTGCATGTATTTACCATCAACAGAGGAATGGAGGAAATTCGGATTAGGAAAAAACGATTGTTTTTTAAGTAAATAAGTCAGGTAGTACTGCAAAATGGATGAGATTAAAGTGATTTAAGAGCAGTAGGAGCATGCTGCCTGGAAAATTTTCATTTGTTGGAAATTAAATAGCAAAACAATGAGTGAAAATATCGTTTGTGTTTCTCATGTATTTACATGCATAATTTTAATTTTATTTTTACTACCCCCCAAAAAAACGGTAGCTCCGGGTGTTGGGCAATGCTAGTTGCACACCCCTGCAACTGCCACGCAATGGTAAGCAAATTGCAACGAACTTGTTGATGTAGAAATTGAACTCACTTGTTTTGTTTCTGTACTTTCAATTTCGATTTCAAAGATGAATGTAAAAGTTAAACTGACCGGCCAGTAACTTCCGGATTTTTATGACGAAAAAAAAAGTTTGGGTTGGCGATTAAAATTAGGGTCGGTCGGGTAACCGTAAACAAACATATTTTTTTGTTACGCCTAATCATTTTATTGAACAAATGGCTTAAAAAAGATGTAAACCCTGCTTCCCCCCCCCCCCCCCCAAAAAAAAAGCCTGCCTGCCACATTGAAATTTGATTTATTTGGCCTGAGAAACTATATTAATTAATTTTTTTGGCCTAAGAAAGCTTCCATTTATATTTCAGCTTTTCTGGCCAAGTAGTTTTTGAGATGATTTTAAACGATTTTACCAAATATACTTCAATGTAAAAATTGGATTCCCTATTGTGGTCCCTCCCTTCCCTTGCCATGGTTTGAACAAATCAAAATATTCTATACCTATGTAAGGATGTTGCTCCCATAGAGTTACAGTACGTTTTCTGACCCACTGGTTCTTGAGAAGATATTTTTTAATTGCTGTATACAAGGAAATTTTCACCCCCCATTTTATTTTACCCCTTTCGCTCTACCCTCATTTGGGTGAATATAAATGGGCGAATTCAAAGAATACAGTATAACCACGTAAACAAAACTATGACTGTGCAAATCTAAAAAGGAGCAAAATTGTTTGAAAGTGGGAAAGGGCGAAAATAACACAGGGAGAAAATAACAATGTATACAGTAATTTTGATGTAAAATTTTGATTCCCTTTTGTGGTCCTAACCTATCCCTAGGGGTCATGATGTGAAAATTTAGAATCCATACTGCCACAGAATGATTCTGTGTAAATTTCAGGTTTTCTGACGCTCATCAGTGGTTCTTGAGAGTAAGGTCTTTAAAACAATTTCCTACTTATTTCAATGTAAAATTTTGATTCCCTATTGTGGCCCCCATTCTTACATTGTACCAGAGGGGTCCTGATTTGAACAATTCAAAACCAGAAGTCTCTGTCGAGACTGTAGCTCTACTGGTTTATACTTAAAACAAAGGAAGAGAAAAGTAGCAGTTGGGACTTGAGACTTTAAATCAGCAATAAATAGAAAAATGATCCTTGCCACTCATCAAAATAAAAACCAATGCACAGAATTATGTATCTTAGCATAGTCTACTTGTGTGCCAAGTTATACTGAAATCAGACCAAAACTGCAGGAGGAGTAGCATTTTGAAAGAATTTCACAGAAATTTCTATTTTTAGTAACCATGGCAACATGTTCATTGAAATCAGAAACCGATGCACAGAATTATGTATCTTAGTGTAGTCTACTTGTTTGCCAAGTTATATCAAAATCAGACCAAAACTGTAGGAGGAGTAGCATTTTGAAAGAATTTCACAGAAATTTCTATTTTTAGTAACCACGGCAACACCGTTTATCAAAATCAAAAACCGATGCACAGAATTATGTATCTTAGTATAGTCTACTTGTGTGCCAAGTTATAATGAAATTAGACCAAAACTGTAGGAGGAGTAGCATTTTGAAAGAATTTCACAGAAATTTCTATTTTTAGTAACCAAGGCAACACCGTTCATCGAAATCAAAAACCGATGCACAGAATTATGTATCTTAGTGTAGTCTACTTGTGTGCCAAGTTATATTGAAATCAGACCAAAACTGTAGGAGGAGTAGCATTTTGAAAGAATTTCACAGAAATTTCTATTTTTAGTAACCACGGCAACACCGTTCATTGAAATCAAAAACCGATGCACAAAATTATGTATCTTAGTGTAGTCTACTTGTGTGCCAAGTTATATTGAAATCAGACCAAAACTGTAGGAGGAGTAGCATTTTGAAAAATTGTTTACAGACAGACAGACGGACGGACGACGGACGCATTACTATCGCATAAGCTCTTCTGGTCTCTGACCAGTAGAGCTAAAAATCTTCACTACCCTATCATGCTTCCACATGGATTCAGTTGTGTAAGTGATAGAACTTAACCAGGCTAAAGTTTCATCTTTTCTGGCCCAGTGAGTCTTGACGGAAAGAATTTTTATCTAGCCCCCCCCCCCCCTTCCTCCCAATTTTAATTATCTGCCCTTGTAATGGGAGTTGTCCCTTAAAGAACTTTATTCGGTAATAACCAATATTTGCCCCTCAAATCAAACTTTGATGGAGATATATTTAATTAAGTCCTTAAACAGGTGGGTATATGCTGACTTCAAAGCACTGAAAATTTTCATAAGTAATGACGCCATATGTACGTAATGACGTCACAAACATGACGTAAATTTCAGTTTTTTATAAATTTTACAGAAAAATGTACATATTTTGTCGATATTTTGAGTAAAAGTCACCAAGCGCATGTGTGCTCAGGATCAATATTTTGATATAAAGTGTAGAATGATAATATCAATGAAATATGTCAATATTGTTCCTGAACAAACTTGCGCTCTATAAATTATTCCTCTTTCTGAAAAAGGATATAAAATCGCACTAGTTTGTGACGTTATAAAAACAAAAATTGTGAATACACTGCTTTGACACTATAATATTTTCTGTTAATTTATATTTTTCATACAATTTATTGAATTCAGCACATTTCAGGAAGTTTTCAAAATTTGACTTTTGAGGGGGCAAATATATGCAATATACCGCATATAGTTCTTTAACAATTCAACCCCCCCCCCCCTTTTCACCCAAGAATGCTTTGTACCAACTTTGGTTAAGTTCTCGAGAAAAAGTTGATAATGTGAAAAGTTTACAGACATTTAGTAGGACGGATGATGACAAACAGCAGGGTATCAAAAAAGCTCACTTGAGCTTTCAGCTCAGCAGAGCTGTGGAAAACTGCCGGTCATGCCGGCAAGACCGGCTAAAAATGCCTGTGACTGGTAAAAATGCTATCGATGTCGGTACAAATGACCGACCTCTTTCTTTGTTAAAGGTTTTTTTTTTCCATTTTGATTTAGGCCTATCATCGGCGCACTTCCCAGCCTAATTATCACACCTTATATACGATTGCGCAATACCTTTTCTTTGCACGAGATCGAGGCTCTAGAAAATGAAAGCGAAACCAGCATTGTCTCGCGTGACCTATCAAATTTACAAATGGGTCAGAATTAGGTAGAAAACATAAAAAAAGATAAAGACAGGCTAAATACTTGGGTATGTTAAACATTTCGACAGAATATATTCAAACACAGTTGAGTGAAGTGGTAAACCTAGTATGGCCGACATTCAGACTGTTCCAGATTTCGTTTTTTTTTTCATCGGTCATGTTCATGATGTTGGTATCTTTATTATCCATGCTCAGAACTTCTAAGACTCATTTTCGAGGTAAAATATAATTCCCAAAATGAAAACGGAAGAGGACTTGGTAATGGAGACTAATTGTTGAGTTGGCTCGCGTAGCGAGCTACTCCCTGTTGACATAGACATTTCAGAGCTGTAAATTTTTTCACGCATTCATCAAGGTGATCCATACGCCAAATATAATAGTTCGATCTAGCAAAAAATGCTTTGGTTTGAATGATTGTATAAACTTAAGAGGTAAAAACTGTATAAAATTTCATACTGTAACATTATTAATGCCTTCATGCTTTTAAAGAAATTTTTGATTGAATATCTGTACGATGTACAATTACTGCGTATGAATATATGTTCAAGCATGTTAGGCGGATCTAATCTTCCCATCTGAAGTTTATTTATAATTGACCTAGAATACTCCCTAACACAAACACCTGCTGCTCTCATTAGCTGCAGCTAGTTGTTGTTGAAAATCTATTTTTAGAATCCAGATTTGCTGTGGGAATCTTTAACCTAATTATTCCATAACACTGACCACTTCAGCTAATGTGCTGAAATTCATTATAGAATCCAGTCAAAATAATATGGAAGCCCATTAGTGCCAACCTGTATATATAAAGGAAAAGCAATATACACTCTATTTATGAACCGAACATGGATCAGACATATAATATTTAATCTCTTAAGATGCAAAATAAACTGAATATATTAAGGTTATATGGTGCCCAGATGTATGAAAAAGCTCAATTGACTCGAGTGAGTCAACTTGCAGGCCCTTCAGGCCTTTGATTATCATTAAGTAAAGTGTAATTAACTTAAATTAAGAAAATAAATGTTATTATTTTCTTTTTAATTTTGCAACTTACTATTTCGGACCGGCAAAAATCACTTCAGACCGGCATATTTTGTCTTCTTGCCGGTCCGAATGACTGGCTAACTGAAAAAGTTTTCCACAGCTCTGCTCAGGTGAGCCAAAAATAAAAATATCTTCAACTTCTCCTCTACTTATGAATAAATGAAAATCTGCTAAATTATGACAAAACTTTAGCTGGTTAGGATTATAAAAATATATAAATTACCTCTGTTTTGAGTTTTACTCCACTCTCACTATATACAATAAGAACTGGTTGACTGACGCTGTCTAAGTTTGTCCCTCTTATTGGGATTTTACATCCTCCTCTGCAAAGATATAAAATAAATTTAACTATAGATATAGATAATGTACACTTATTTCAGGACTACGAGGAGAACAGTCATACTGTTGTCCAAAGATAATGGGGAAGACCTAATAAACTGTTGCCTGACTAGGCCAGGAGAGTTCAAAACATACCTATTTCCATGTGAATTTTTAATGCAGCCCCCCCCCCCCACACACACAATTTTATAGCCCAATAAGTCCCAATGAATAAATAAAACAAATACAAATCTGCTCTAAAGATATTCCAACAAAAAAGTGATCTCTTAATTATTTATTTTTCTGACCTAAATCCTATATAATTTATATTTTTGGCTCAGTTTTTCTTGAAAAAATTTCAAGTTTACTACATTTAGTTGAACTTTCTGGTATCTGGATCACAAATGCCATGGATATGTCGAGAGGATTTTGAAGTCCCAACCACTTATTTCATAAACATTTTACATCAGATATCTCGAATGTTCAGCTATATCCTAGAACCTAGGTTCAATGATACTCTGTTTCTTATGCCTTAAAGATTGTATGCAAAATCAAGTTTCTTATACTTTTAACAAGTATTTTTCATAAGCTGCTTATTTTTACAAATTTTAACCAGTTTTATAAATCCATAAAATTAAAACATGTAAAATTTCACAGATTGCTTAAGTAAATATAAAAAGAAAAAAGAACAATATTTCGCAAGTGAATGGTTGATTGGGAGATTTTACATTGATTTTATCACCATAAAAATAAAAGCAATTACCCGGTAATTTTATTACGCGAGTGGTGCTCCTTGCAAAATTATGCATGAATTAATTTCTCATGTATGTTTAGGAATCTACAGTATCGAAAATCAGCATGATCAGAGCTCAATCCATTCAATTAAAAAGAAGAATGTGTCAATTTTGTTACAATCAAATGATTGTAAGTCTTTTTACCTCTTAAAGGCTTTTAAAGACTGGGCCAAGTCTGGCTTTACTACAGGGTCTGGTCTGTACTCAAACTGGAACTTTTTTATAAAATCTTTGCTTGTTCCGACTTCATACACATTAGGCCATTGCAAGGTCACTGTAACTTTTCCTACTGAGTCTCGACGCCGTGTGGTAAATGTCAGACTTACATCAGAACTACAAAATAGATATCAATCAGTGTGAAAATTTAAATATTATTACTGTAAAACTTCAATTAAGCAATAAATTAAATTGACCCATATAAATGTTTGTTTTAAGTATGACCCATATGAATGTTTGTTTTAAGTAAGGCAAAGTTGGACATTAAACTTACAATCTAATAGTTTACATTCAAAGATGCAAAATTTGCAAAAGTTATGCAATTTTGATCTTGAAGGGCTTGCAAGTACTTGGGAATAAACTTATCCTGACTAGGATTTTAAACCAATAAACAAAATGTCATTTAAATCTAGCATCTGAAGCAAGTTTGAGAGTGTTCATCCCTTGATGCATCATCCATGCAAGTTTAATAAAGATATGCCTAAAAATATCTTGGTGATAGCTCTGCGTCCATAACTTTAACCTGGTCCATTATTTTGAATATGAAGGTCAGATCCAGCATCTGAAGAAAGTCTAGAAGGGTGCATCATTCTTTAGCATGTTTAGATGTATCATCCACTAAGATAATGACCCAATTAAACTACATCTAAAACCAGAAGTCTCTGTCGAGACTGTAGCTCTACTGGTTTATACTTAAAACAAAGGAAGCGAAAAGTAGCAGTTGGGACTTGAAACTTTAAAACAGCAATAAATAGAAAATTGATCCTAGTCAGTCATCAAAACAAGAGGCCCATGGGCCACATCGCTCACCTGAGAAGCTTTGACCATTCTGTTCTTTACCAGATTTCACCCTTGTTATACATAATGCATCCCCACCCTACCCCACTGATCATAATTTAGACATTTTGAAATCTACACTACCCCATGATCCTTCCATGGGCACATATGTTTCAGCTTTTTTGGCCCAGTGGTTCCTGAGAAGAAGATTTTCAAAGATTTTTCCTATATATTTCTATGTAAAACTTTGATTCCCTATAATGGCCCCGCCCTTCCCCCGGGGGTCATGATTCCTACAATTTAGAATTTACACTACCCCAGAATGCTTCCACATAAGCTTCACTTTTTCTGGCCCAGTGGTTCTTGAGAAGAAAATTTTCAAAGATTTTTCCTATATATTTCTATATAAAACTTTGATTCCCCATTGTGGCCCCGCCCTTCCCCCGGGTGTCATTATTTGAACAATTTAGAATCTACATTATACCAGGATGCTTCCACATAAGTTTCAGCTTTTCTGGCCCAGTGGTTCTTGAGAAGAAGATTTTCAAAGATTTTTCCTATATATTTCTATGTAAAACTTTGATACCCCATTGTGGCCCCGCCCTTCCCCTGGGGGTCATGATTTGAACAATTTAGAATCTACACTACCCCAGGATGCTTCCACATAAGTTTCAGCTTTTCTGGCCCAGTGGTTCTTGAGAAGACGATTTTCAAAGATTTTTCCTATATATTTCTATATAAAACTTTGATTCCCCATTGAGGCCCCACCCATCCCCCGGGGGTCATTATTTGAACAATTTAGAATCTACATTATACCAGGATGCTTCGACATAAGTTTCAGCTTTTCTGGCCCAGTGGTTCTTGAGAAGAAGATTTTCAAAGATTTTTCCTATATATTTCTATATAAAACTTTGATTCCCCATTGTGGGCCCGCCCTTCCCCCGGTGGTCATGATTTGAACAATTTAGAATCTACACTATACCAGGATGCTTCCATATAAGTTTCAGCTTTACTGGCCCAGTGGTTCTTGAGAAGAAGATTTTCAAAGATTTTTCCTATATATTTCTATATAAAACTTTGATTCCCCATTGTGGCCCCGCCCTTCCCCCGGGGGTCATGATTTGAACAATTTAGAATCTACACTATACCAGGATGCTTCCATATAAGTTTCAGCTTTTCTGGCCCATTGGTTCTTGAGAAGAAGATTTTCAAAGATTTTTCCTATATATTTCTATATAAAACTTTGATTCCCCATTGTGGCCCCGCCCTTCCCCCGGGGGTCATGATTTGAACAATTTAGAATCTACACTACCCCAGGATGCTTCCACATAAGTTTCAGCTTTACTGGCCCAGTGGTTCTTGAGAAGAAGATTTTTTAATGACCCCACCCTATTTTTGTCTTTTCTTGATTATCTCCCCTTGCGAGGGGATATGTCCCTTCATTTTAAGAAATTAAATTCCCCTTTAGCCAAGGATGCTTTGTACCAAGTTTGGTCAAAATTGGGCCAGTGGTTCTTGAGAAGAAGTCGAAAATGTGAAAAGTTTACAGACGGACAGACAGACGGACAGACGGACGGACGGACGGACGGACAGACGGACGGACGACGGACAAAATGTGATCAGAAAAGCTCACTTGAGCCTTCGGCTCAGGTGAGCTAATAAAAACCAGTGCACAGAATTATGTATCTTAGTGTAGTCTACTTGTGTGCCAAGTTATATTGAAATCAGACCAAAACAGTAGAAGGAGTAGCATTTTGCAAGCATTTCACAGAAATTTCTATTTTTAGTAACCATGGAAACACTGTTCATCGAAATCAGAAACCAATGCACAAAATTATGTATCTTTAAAAGTGTAGTCTACTTGTGTGCCAAGTTATATTGAAATCGGACCAAAACTGTAGGAGGAGTAGCATTTTGAAAGCATTTCAAAGAAATTTCTGTTTTTAATAACCATGGCAACACCGTTCATTGTAATCAAAAACTGATGCACAGAATTATGTATCTTAGTGTAGTCTACTTGTGTGCCAAGTTATATTGAAATCGGACCAAAACTGTAGTAGGAGTAGCATTTTGAAAGCATTTCACAGAAATTTCTACGTTTAGTAACCATGGCAACACCGTTCATCGAAATCAAAAACCGATGCATAAAATTATGTATCTTAGTGTAGTCTACTTATGTGCCAAGTAATATTGAAATCCGACCAAAACTGTAGGAGGAGTAGCATTTTGAAAGCATTTCACAGAAATTTCTATTTTTAGTAACCATGGCATCAAAATCAAAAACCGATGCACAGAATTATGTATCTTAGTGTAGTCTACGTATGTGCCAAGTTATAATGAAATCCGACCAAAACTGTAGGAGGAGTAGCATTTTGAAAAATTGTTTTCAGACAGACAGACAGACGGACAGACGGATGGACGACGGACGCATTACTATCGCATAAGCTCTTCTGGTCTCTGACCAGTAGAGCTAAAAACAAGAGATGTTTGTAAAACACTTAAGCCCCCTCCCCCCAAATCGGAATTTTTCGAAGTCCAAAGTGGCATAACTCTGTCAAAAAATGGTGCGATCTTACCCAAAACAGAACTTTACCTAGATATTTATCTGATAATCTGTTACTAAATTTCATTTCATTTGAGCAACAATTGTGAAGAAAATGAACAGAAACTTAAAAAAAATTGGAATTTTTCTAAGTCCAAGGGTCATAAGTCTCTCATAAATGGTGCGATCTTACCCAAAACAAAACTTTACCTAGATATTCATCTGATAAATCTGTATACTAAATGTCATTTTGGTATGTACAACCTCTGCAAAGAAAATGAATGGAAACTTCAAATAACTGGAATTTTTTCTGAGACCAAGGGGAATAACTCTCTCAAAAATGTCGTGATCATACCCAAAACAAAATTTGAACTAGATATCCATCTGATATATCTGTATAACAAATTTCATTTCAGTATGTGCAAATTCGTGAAAAAAATGAACAGAAACTTAGTGGATAGTCAGACCGACCGACAGACGGAGGGCAAAGCGATATGCCCTTCATTCTTTCTAAAGGGGGCAAAAAGATATATGTGAGGATGTGTGTTAAATAGAAGTTACCCTTGAGCTTCTAATAACTTACACTGTGTTCAATGTCAATATTTCATTTTCTCCAATAACCACTATTGGGACGACCACTGATCCATTGCCAAACAGTCTCCCTCTGACTGTGACTGTTGTGTTCCCAGAAATCGGACCAAAGTCTGGAATCAGTCTCAGGGACTCAAAGATAGGATCCTGGAATTAAAATGTACGGTTACATTAGATATCATAACCGACAGTAATGCTGTACAGGGGGCATGTGTTTGTTAATAAAATCATAAATTTTGAATGTGAGGACTATTGAAGATTCCAAAATATACACAAGGAATTAATTATTGCGTAAAGCACCACTTACGAAATAATGATACTTCCTCTCATTTTTATGATGCTTAAATACATAAAATATTTCCTGAAAACCACCCAGTTGTGAATTATTTTTCTCTCAATTTGCCATCTGAAGGCCATTTTGTGATATTTTGTACTAAAGTAAAATAAGTAATTTACAGTATTTCGATCGAACCTCTACAAATACCGTATAATCCCTATTAACCGCCCCAAGCACTTAGAAGTTGCGGAAAGGGGGTATTTATTTTGGTTTTCTCTTCTTCATATTTAATATCATATTATAACTTCAAAAAATATTTTGAAAAAAAAAATTCAAAAACCTCTAATATAATGTCTAACTTTATTTTAAATGAAGATAATCCATCCAAATTATGCTTAATGAATCCTTTTTTCACCAAGAAATTGGATAGTAAACAAGTTTCGTTTTCATTTTCTCCAAATTTTGGCAGACTTTTTCAATGATTCTAGATAATTTTAATTACTGTACTGTACAGGGGGCACTTATTTCCTGAAAATTGAAAAAGACCTAAGAGGGCGCTTATAGGGGCAGGGGTGGTTAATAGGGATTATACGGTAAAAATTTCTTAATGAAATCAAGTTGCACCAAGTATAAACAAGAGAACAATTGGCCAAATCACTCACCTGAGTAGATTTGAACATGCTGTTCTTTATAAGATTTCCCCCTAGTAGGACCTATTGTGACCCTACCCTACCCCACTGATCATATTTTAGACAATTTGAAATCTACACTACCCCAGGATGTTTCCACATAAGTTTCAGCTTTTCTTGTCCAGTAGATTTTTAAAGATTTTTCCTAAATATTTCAATGTAAAACTTGGTTCCCTATAGTGGCCCCACCCTACCCTCGAGGGTTATGATTTTTAACAATTTAGAATCTACACTATACCAGAATGCTTTCATATAAGTTTCAGCTTTCTTTCCCAGTGGTTCTTGAGAAGAAGATTTTTTAATGACCCAACCCTATTTTTGTCTTTTCTTGATTATCTCCCCTTGTGAGGGGTCTTGTTCATTCATTTTTACAATTAAAACTACCCTTCATCCAAGGATGCTTTGTACCAATTTTGTTTAAAATTGGCCCAGAGGTTCTTGAGAAGAAGCTGAAAATGTGAAAAGTTAACAGATAGAGGGACAGCTAAACGGACAGACGGACAAAGGATGATCAAAAAAGCTCGCTAGCTTTCAGCCCAGGTGAGCTAAAAAGTATTACATTCATGTAAATACTGCAGTCTCTCTTTTAGTACAAGTAAATATGGGAGCTAAAAGATCGTAAAACTCTATATTTCAAACTTACACAATTTCTTTTGTTAGTAAGGCTAGCATTTCCATGGCATCTGCACATTCCACCCTGCCCTTTATCACAGATTTCGCTCTGACTGCCCACTTTGTTGCACTGACAGGGACTGCAGCCTTCTGAATTTGTCAAGCTGAGGTTATAGTATTTGTCCATGCATTCATCACACTTGAGTCCTAATGGCATTAATAGAAAAGGATCTTGAACTGCGTACCAAACTAATGACTTCTTAATTACGAGGGTTGATCCAAAAGCAATGTCACAACTTTGATCAAATTGCTATAAATCGACGTAAAGGAACAAAATTAAGCATGATGGAAGCTTTATTTATTTAAAATCAGACCTGAAAAATTCAATGGAATATGATGTATACTTTCCTAAATATCGGAATTTAAACAATGTGCGTTTATGGTCGTCGCCGCACCTTAATATAATGTCATAAGACGGATGCGCACCGTCATACTTTTAAAAGTGTTAACCTTCGTTTCATTAAAAAATATTTGTGATTCGCTACCACTTTCACCAATTCCACTTTAAGAAATCTTGGTACCATCATACACTCACTCTTTTCATAATTAAACCCTCTGACAAAATTTTTTGAACAGCGGCGTAAGACAAAATTAAAAATTCACATGTCACTCTAAACGTTCGTCTTTTTTGACAAGGTCAGACACCATTGAACGTTTCCGTCCGATCTCCTATCTTTCGCGGTCTTGAATATTCTTGTCCTCTGCTGATCATTCAGTGACCAATCACTCGCCCAAAATTGCTGAAACCATCTATTAAGATGTCTCTTAATAATTTTACATTCTTTATTCTGATAAGGTCTGATTAATTAAAGTATGTAACTGTCGCTTGTGATAATTCCCATATTTTGAAGCAAAAATGCATTACAATTTGTTGAGCCGTTTTTCCCCATTTCGACAATATCTTTTGACTTTGTTCAATTCAGCAGAGTAAAACAACAATGTTTATGATCACAAATACAATGCTGTCATCAAATTTTCATTTTATGACTATAAAATGAAGAAAAATTGTGTCTTTTAAAAAATTGGGGGATTAGGTGCTTTTTTTTAAATCTTTTAATGTGTTTGTATTTTTCATTCTAAGAAAAAATACACTTTAAAACGTGACGTTCTGTTGTGACGTGGCGACACCCCTATGCTCTATGTTTTAAACATTTATAAAATAAATTCAAATAAACATTATTAAATCAAAATTTCACTGTAAATTAGATTTATATTTGTGCATCTTTTGGTATATTGTATTCAATAATATGACGCCAAATATAAAAGATATGGACACTGTGACATTACTTTTGGATCAACCCTGAGGCTCGTAATTTGCTAGTCAAGGGAGTTTTCTGATCCACTTCTATCCTGGCAGGTCTTTCATGTTTGTGAGGAGATGCAGATCAGACCCCCTGCCCCCCAGGCTAGCCAAGAAGACATATTCAATGTATCTGTTATAAAATTGTAATATTTATATAATTATGTACTTTTCCTAAGAAAACACACATTAGTTTATGATGGATGCAAAAATATGTGGTTTCTTATTCAAATACTGTAAACTTATTACATTTGGCTGTGTATTCTTTATAGTGCTTTTGGCAGAAAGCAAGTTTGTTTTGAAAAAAGGGTGGCGGATGGCGGTATGCGAATTTGGCGTTATAAAGAGAATTTTATATAGCAGGAAAAACGTTCTTGGGAAATCATGGCAATATTGCGAAAATGGCGATGAATCGAATGGTGATAATTCGAGAATTGACTGTAATTGTCTTATTTTTTGATTTCATGAATTGATCAATTGATTGGCTTGCGTGATAATTTGCTTAAGGTAGTTCTATACTCGGCGCTAAATGGGTTCAATCTTAAAAAATCTGCTTTTATAAGTTAGATATACACCCCAGCAATGGATAGACACAAGAAAAATTATATGTCAACATGTTCACTTTTCCGCTATAGCCTATCGGAGTATATACCCCGAAATGTAAAATACTGATTACAGAAATTTACCTATCCTACATTTTGTTGTATTTAAATGAATTAAAGTCTAAATATTCAACTTTAATACACAAAATAGAATAAAAACTTGTTAGTAAACCATATATAATCATTGTTTTGCATGAATTATTATAATTATTTGCACTTTGCTAGGCTAACGTATCAAAATGAAATGTGAGAAAATGTGCTTCACAGGTCAATCTCGGTCATTTTAGAAAAAGTTATAGACTCAAACTTCAAAAATTTGCATTCTTTTTACTAAATAACATTTAAGAAAAAGAATAAGCTAAAAAAAATTATATGTTGATGCATTACTTTTCCTGGTATGAGCTCTACACTAAAGGGACCCCCCATAATTTCATTCATCCAAAAGTAATATATTGCCACATTTTCCTGTAGTTCTGTTAAAGTTTGCTTGTATTAACAAGGTTGAACACATTTAAAACAATACACACCCAATACCTATTGTCCCAAAAATTTATTTTATAATATTCTAAAACATTAAAACACCACTTGTTCGTAAATTGGAGACAATGAAAATGGGCGTGATTGACTGATTCTCACAAACTGGATGCTTTTGTTACAGAAAATAAGTATGCTGCAAGTGAATCGACTTTTATATATAAAAGTATAATAATAATTAATATATAATATTAATAATAATTATTATTCTAGCCTAAAGATAATTTTGCATTGTGATTCAGATTGTAGGGTAAGCCGGTTTAAGGGGGGGGGGGGGTATGCGTCTTATGAAATAATTATTATTCAAAGTGAATTTATAATTTGTGATGGATTAAATTAATTATATTTGTCAAAGTCAAATCGTATTAATTACTTTGCTTGCGAATTATCACTATTAGCTTTAACTTGGCCACCGACAATAGTTGCCCCGACTTTCATGTACTGATGTAGCATGTTCGTAGTCCGTGTTATCGGCGCGGCATATTACACATGTATCATTCATAGACATGTTGTTTTGTTAGTTATTACCTAATTTTTTCTCTGTCAACCGAAAGTTGTTCCAAGTCTTCTCTTTTTAATTAATTTATCCTTAAACTGTAGAATCACTCAGTGTTCATGAGCGACTTCGAGCAAAATCGTTACCGGATATTTAAAACGCTGAGTAAAAGTCAAACCATTTTGTTCAAAAATCACATCCCCAAAAAAAATAAGTGTGGTTCCGGTTTTACTATTCGTAAATGACGTAGTGCGAGTATAGACCTACTTTAAACGCCGAAGGTGTTTATGCATAAAATTATCACGCAAGCCAATTGATTAACCATCTTCATGAAATTGAAAAATCTGACAGTTATTCCTTATATTTACATGCTCTTGATTCCACCAATCCACGTGCTCTAAGCCCCGCATCTGTCTCTACATTTGTGCCGCCCCACACATTATTTTTCTTAACCTTGCCTTTCGATGAACCAGTGCATTCATGAAGAAATAAAGTACATTTACTATTTGTAATTTTATCTTGGACAAAGATATTGGAAATGTAAATTTATAGTTGGGAATCCAAGATAACTTCGCTATATCCATGAATTCGCAAGATCCGTGTTCGCATTAATCAAGTTTAACTTTATTTTTTATATTGGCTTACCCTGAACTTTTTCTTTGCAGGTGCACACACCGCCTGGGTCTGAACAATTTCTAACATTCACACCTGACGTGTGACAATTACATTCTTTACACCCATCAGCTAAGTTGACACCATAGAAACCGAAGTTACATTTTTCACAACGTCCAGAGATCATCTACAACAAAAATATGAAAATCTTTAATATATGTATGAAGTTTTTGAATAAATGAAGCAACATGAACTGCTACTTTCATGTCATATATTTCTGTTGCAAAATTCAAACCAAAAGTCTCTGTCGAGACTGAAGCTCTACTGGTTTGTACTTATAGCAAAGGAAGATAAAAGTACTTAGTTGGGAATTGAAACATTACAACAGCAATAAATAGAATAATGATCCTTGATTATAAGTCTCTTTATGTTCTTAGTGTAGTCTACTTGAATGCCACATTATATTATAATAAGATTAAAACTGTATTTGGAGTATTTAACAGAATTTTCTATTTTTAGTAACTAAGGCAATGATGTTCATCGAAGTCAAAAACCAATATAAAGAATTGTGTATCTATTTTAAGTAACAACGGCAACACCATTCATCAAAATCAGAAACCGATATATAGAATTATGTACCTTAGTGTAGTCTACTTGTGTACCTAGTTATATTTAAATCAGAACAAAACTGTAGGAGATGTAGCATTTTTGAAAGAATTTCACAGAAATTTCTAATTTTTTTAACCACGGCAACACCGTTCATCGAAATAAAAAAAAACGATACTCAGAATTATATATCTGAGTGTAGTCTACTTCCGTGCCAAGTTATATTGAAATCAGACCAAAACTGTTGAAGAAGTAGCATTTTGAAAGAATTTCACCGAAATTTCTATTTTAAGTAGGCACGGCAATACCATTCATCGAAATCAAAAACCGATAAACAGAATTATGTATCTTAGTGTATTCTAATTGTGTGCCAAGTTATATTGAAATCAGACCAAATCTGTAGGAGGAGTAGCATTTTGAAAAAAATTCACCGAAATTTTTATTTTTAGTAACCATGGCAACACCGTTCATCAAAATCAAAACCCGATAAACAGAATAATGTATCTTGGTGAAGTCTACTTGTGTGCCAAGTTATATTGATATTAGACAAAATCTGTAGGAGGAGTAGCATTTTGAAAGAATTTCTACGAAATTTCTATTTTTAGTGACCCCGGCAACACCGTTCATTGAAATCAAAAACCGATACACAGAATTATGTATCTTAGTGAAGTCTACTTGTGTGCCAAGTTATATTGAAATCAGACTAAACCTGTAGGAGGAGTAGCATTTTGAAAAAAAATTCACCGAAATTTTTATTTTTAGTAACCATGGCAACACAGTTCATTGAAATCAAAAACCGATAAACAGAATAATGTATCTTAATGAAGGCTACTTGTGTGCCAAGTTATATTGAAATCAGACCAAATCTGTAGGAGGAGTAGCATTTTGAAAGAATTTCACCAAAATTTTTATTTTTAGTAACCATGGCAACACAGTTCATTGAAATCAAAAACCGCTATATAGAATTATGTTTCTGAGAGTAGTCTACCTGTGTACCAAGTTATATTGAAATCAGACCAAAACTGTAGGAGGAGTAGCATTTTGAAAAATTGTTTACAGACAGACAGACAGCTAGACAGACGGCCGGACGCCGGACGCATTACTATCACATAAGCTCTTCTGGTCTCTGACCAGTAGAGCTAAAAATTACAATGTTTTACAGCAGAGATATAATAAATATCAATATTTTTATATATAATGTTATACATGCTCTATACTCAAAAATTTAGATTATAAAGTTTTAATCTTTAGTTGATCATTAAGGTTAAGTTACATGTAGAAATAACACAATAACCAGATTATCATTATAACAATGATTATTATAACTTTACTTATCATAATACCCAGAATTATCATAATAACCAGAATTATAAATTTTAAAGTACCAAAATAACCATATGCAGTTAGAAGAAAAATGTTCTACTGATGAAATTAAAATTTTGTTTGAAAACAAAAGGCAGACTTTTTTATTACCAGAAAAACCAGTACTTACCTCTTCTACATTCTGTTTACATGTACAGCTTCCTGTGGCTTTATTACATTCCCTACCCCCCGGGCCACAGTTACAATCAGTACAACCTGATGGGTTACTTTCCTCCAGTTTCCAGTATAAAGGTTTACAAGTATCACATGCTCTCCCCTCTACAGTACTCTTACAAATACATTGTCCTCCAACCTAAAAAAAATTTCAAGATGTGAATTATTTAGAAATTAAACTGCACTAAGTGATTTACTATTAAAATTAAATATAAAATTTCACCTCTTTATGTCACAAAACACCTTTTCCTGAATTGAATTGCTAAAAAAATATTTGAATGTGCCCTTATAATTATATTATATATGTCATTTAAATGGCTCGGTTGCACTTAGGGCTGCCACGGTTCAGACATTTTTCGGTTCGGTTCAGAAAATAAATTCTCGGTTTTCGGTTTTTTCGGTTCGGTTTTCATTTTGAGAATTTAAATAAAACATCTTTATATATATCAAAGGATAATAAAGATTAAGGACATTGTAGAAAGTACTATTTTGCTGACACAAATTTCTATCCATTTTATTCAACAGAACAAGTTGTTAAATGTAACAAAAAATAACAAAGTAATACACTTCTTGTTTAAAATAAAATAAATATAGTTATTGACTAGAGTTATCTTGTTTCAAACAATTGAAACATTCAAAACGTGAAGTATTCCCACACTTGTGATTTGGTTTTCCTTCCACATGTGTATGCCATGTTTAATTGTCTTCGATGTTACCTGTATTTTCATTGGTTAAAGAACCCTTCATTGAAATAAACAACCAATCACAACGCGTGTTGCAAGCAAATTAGTATTATATAAAAGATAAAAAAAACCGAACCGAATTCCGGAAAACCTGACGATAACCGAACCGAATGCCATTTCGGAGCGGTTAACCGAGTTTTCGGTTAACCGTGACAGCCCTACTTGCACTAATTCATGTTTGTACTCATAAGGTGAATAGAAAGACAGGGCTATATTTCTAGTGTGCATGCCTCAATTTGTGTACATTTACAATACTCTCCTTTGACAATTTAAATTTTAATACTTTATAGATTAAAAGTGAAGTCCTCATTAAATCATTCCACTTATGGTTGTGGACTATATAAAATTGATTTATGCACAGTGGGTACTCATGTATTACATATCATAAACGATTTCAAAAGCTCGTTCACTTTTTGTCCAATTTAATACATTCTCAATGGAAAATTATACAGGGTTATTTTCACCTCGTGTTATTTTCGCCCTTTCACACTAGCAAACAATTTGGCCCATTTCAAATTTGCCAAGTCATAGTTTTGTTTAAGAAAATGTACTGTATTCTTTGAATTCACCCCGTTTTAAATTAGCACGAGTGTAGAGCAAAAGGGGCGAAAATAAAATGGGGAAAAAAATTTCCCTGTCTACAGTATATCACTTTAATACTTTAAAACTTTTTATTTAATGATATCTTTTACTAACCTGTTCACATTCTTGTAGTTTCCCACTTTTTGTTCCCTTTGAAGAACAACCACAGTCTATCTCACAACCAAAGTCTTCCTCCCCCCTGTAACGATTGGATATACACTGCTCACAGCTGTCCCCCTTGATCCCCCTGTTAGTCTGACAGCTACACATGAAGTTCTTCCCGGTGATATTACAGGAGCCTAGCGAGTTTTCTGAATTCCCATTGCAGTAGCATCTATTCCAGGAAAAGTTTGTAGAATGAATTTATATAAAATTAAAATTGTCAGAAAGATAATTATTTAAATTTGCATTATAATGAACCAAGAAATTACAGCAAATCTTTGAAAATAAATTCTACTGTTCTCAAAGATTGTGCATAATGTAAAACCTATAACCTATAACATAGTGTAAAATGCATTGATTGCCTAGTACACACAACAACTATGACAAAACAGATAGCAATATATGTCATTAGAATGACTTTTGTGATCTAAAAATCGATTTACATGTACCTTCCCATAATGTTGATTTCACTGATTTCAATGTTAGAAGTTGAACTCAAGATTATTTCAATTTTGTTTGCCACCATTTCTTCCACTTCACTTCGAGTTGAGTTTCCTGATGGAGAATTTGTCCGAACATCCCATTTCACACTGTCAGAAGAAACACTGAAAAAAAACAGTAAATGAATAAAAAAAAAACATCTATCTTTCTTAACTTTCCCTAATTTCTATGAGATGTCAATCTATTATAATAATATTAAGTAAGGTAAATCGACATCACCTCACAACAGCGATGTATAATTTGCTATTCAAAATCAAATTATGTTTTATAATCTATAACAACTAACAATCCTGCTTTTATATTACTGTAAATGTATTATATTTAGCCCATACGATATTTGGCAGAAATTAGATTTTGAACAAGTTAGCGTGGATTTGATTTAGCACATATCTTAATGTTCTTTCTCAAAGGTATATGTGCGAGGCATTTAGCGTAGTATTTGAATTAGCGGAGATTGCTTTCCGCCAAAAGCACTAAAAAGAATACACAGCCAAATGTAATACGTTTACAGTATATCAGCAGAATTATGAGGGGGGGGGGTTCACAGTGATAATATAGTTGCAGTGAATACCTTGTTGAGTTTGTATTTTTCTCTGTGTCATTCACAAACAGTCCGATTTTGACACTATTACTTCTGCCGCTAGACATGAAACTTAATGCCACGCTATCAATCTACAAAGAAATGGGAAATTTATGAAATTTAGAAGAATGTTTCATTTATATGTACCTGTGTATGAAAATTTATATTGAATTCCTACCATCTGATGTCTGCAGATCAATTTTTATACAAGTCTACATCTTTTTCTTTAAAGGTACTTGGACACAGATTTGAAGTTATTATTTTCTCTATAATGTTACGGCTTATATATTTTAATAGCATTTCACCATGTTTCACACAAAAATTAATTAAAAATCTTATTTCATATAAAAGATATTAAAATTTCAAATTTTTTGATGGGTTTGATTGATAAATTCTTGCACATTCACAAATTAATTTTATTCTTAATCCTTAGGAAAATTGGCAATCTCATTGTGTATAAATGAAAAATATTAATACTATAATCTAGAAAATTCAGAGTAGACATGTTCGAAAGCAAAACAAACACACAATATATTGTCTGTGCAGTTGTGGTAAGCAGACTGTAACGATTGAACACACCCGGTGAATTGTAAACATCAACAATAACAGAACATGTGCCCTGTTTAGAAAAACTGTGTACATAACACGAGTGTGCTCGATTTGCTAAACCCTGTAAGGAACTCTTAGTTCGGAATGATGATACTTGTGAAGGAGTTTTGCTTTCTAACATTTCTAATCTGAATAAAATTATTTTTCTGGATAAAAGTTTTAATATTTCTCAATAATAAACAACAAGATTGCCACTTTTCCTAAGGATTAAGAATAAGGTTAAAATTTGTGAAAGTGCAAGGATGTGTCAATCAAACCTGCCAAAAAACTTTAAGTTTTAATAACTCTTAAATGAAATAAGATTTTTAATCAATTTTTGTGTGAAATGCTATTAAAATATATGTCGTAATATCAGAGCTCCAGATAATTTTTTACCCCAAAGTGTATTTACTCCCTGATTTTTTAATCAATGCAGATTTTGATTTTCAGCAAAATGATTGAAGAGTATTTTGTTTATATATAAAATGTTTTGACCTTTATTTTGATCTTGTAATTGAAGTATGTGTTTTTGAAGAGGGAAAAAACTTCAAAGGTCAGTTCCTGCATTTATTTTAATAAATTTTGTAAATACCAACAAGACTTTATGCTAAGATTGGGAAGCATTCTTTTTTGACATGGATGATTATATAGTAGGTCAAGGTACCATAGAGTCAGAGACACAGAAAACTTTTCCTTCATTTAAGATATCATATCAAGAGTAATCTTAGAGAAAAGAATCTTCATTAATATGGCAAGTTGAGAGAAATGAAAAATTGGCTATGAACCCATAATAAAAAAAGTTATGCCCAGTGCATAGTCTTTCTACATAGAATTTGATTTTAATCTATATCTCCGATTCTTCCTCCTGAAATGGAGATCGTCGTCGTCATTACTAGAATATTCCTGGTCACTAAAAGGCTTTAAAATCTGTACTTCGTTTTGAGAAAAATCAAACAGAGTTAATCTCAATTTGTATCATTAAGTAAGTTGTACCTGTGTTCTTCAACTTGTTGTATGCAGTACTTTTGTGGTGTAATGCGTATCTATTATTGCTAATGCGTAATTGTATGCTCTATTTTAATTTTCAATGCGTATTCTGTAAACTTTAATGCGTATTTCTGCAAATACGCACCTTATCTGGAGCTCTGAATATTATAGAAAAAATATTGTCTTCAAATCTGTGTCCAAGTACCTTTAATTGGATTGAATTTTTCAAGTAGTATTGATAAGAGAATCAAGAGCTTTTTTGAGTCATTTCTGATTGGCCCTAATTCATAAAATCTGTTAACGAATCATGAAAACATCAATACATACATTTATCATATACCCATCAATTTCCTTGATTTTGTTACTGCATGTTAATTTTACAGAGTTTGATCCGATTTTCCGGATCACCACACTGTGGTTTTCTGAATCCATATCACCACTCTCTGAAACTGATGACGTAGTACGCAGAAACATGACGTTATTTTTCTTGCGCGTTAAAATGTCCCTTCTGATTATACTTTGCCTTATGGATAAATATTGCACATTTGATCTTTAAAGTTTTATTTTGCTATGTTAAGCTATTTATAAGGGGGCATATAATAAATTTATCATTGTAACAGTAACTTGATCCGAAGAGCCGTATCACGTCTCGTTGACAACTTGATGTGATAAGACCCTTCGGATCAAGTTACTGTTATAATAATTTATATGTAGTGCGGACATGTGTAGCACTAATTCATGATTATGCGGCTTATGCCATCCATTGAAAACTCAGTGATTCAGCAATCTTTCAATTTATGTACACAAACAGTATCAGCTACCAGTTATTTTTCACTTTAACTTAGAAAATTCAATTAACCTCTAAAGTTTATCTTACTAAAATACATTAACAAGTACAATCAGGCTTTAATTCACTACTGCAAAATCTAGTAATATTTTTGATGTCATATTTCAATCTTTACCATGAAAACCTGGTCAAACGTAAAGGTGACAGTCTGAGAACCAGCAGATCCTTCCCAATATGTTGACGTGTTGCCATCTCGTAAGCTATCCACATTCTTATTAGTCAATCTTGGTACCATAGAGCCTGGCTTCACAGCTTCACAGAACACGCCTGATGGGTCACTGTCCCTCATCACAAGGACTGGATAGGACAGCGGGCACCTGCATGCCGGAAAACTGATGGGTGTGTTCGTCAGACTAGATCCTTCGAATATTTCCTTTTCAATGTCCCTGACAGAAACAATCAAACAATCGAAACATTAGTATGTAATAAAAGATTAGGAATCTTGCCTCAAGAAAAAGTTAAATATAAATCTAACACCAATTTTTTTCGAGTAAGTGCATGTGTATCCCAAGATCAGTATAAATGGAAGTTTGGTTAAATTGGATTAAATTTGATTTAAATTATTTCCAGGAAATAAATCTTCTTCATAGATCAGAAATTTTAGTCTGTTAACTCATTGAGAAAATGTAGGACAGATCCAGTATCTGAAGCAAGTCTGGTAATGTCCATCCCTAGATGCATCATCCATACAAGCTTAATCATAGAAGGCCTTATAGTTATAGAGCTACTTGAAAACAATACACTGGTCACTCATGAAAAATTTAGGTCTAGCATCGAAGCAAGTCAGGCAGTACCCATTCCTAATTGCATTGTCTCTGCAAGTTTGGTCCAGGTAGGGTTTATAGTTTGGTGCAAGGGCATATCCAACTTTACAGACTGAACTTTTGTATTTAAAAGGAAAATGATGCCATAAACATGAATATGATCTTGTAAATTTAATTGTTATGGCTGGTACTGTACTACGTCATGGGGGTACATAGTATGCATGAAGAAGTAGATTTAAAACTTCTCTGTATAATAGATGAATATTTGCAAAGAAAGCATTAACTTACAAGAAATGCTTCAAGTTACTTGCAAAAATGGAAGAATTTACTACCTGTTTAAGAGATACTGTCTGTAAAAACGGAAATCAACCATGGACAGGTCATCACACTCTAAAAGATACGTATATATATTCGACATTAATGGTGAATCACAATGTCAGGAATTTAAATCATATTACTTTTATTCTCTCTGATACTGAATTTACCTTGAGAAAGTGAGATAAGGCTTCCAAAATTATCCCCCCTTACAACCCTTTAGTTTTACACTGCTGCATTCTACACTTTTTTCCTTACAAATTAATGGACCAGTTTCCATGGTTTCAGATTAAACACTTTTTCTAATAGTAACAATGACCTTGGGTCAAGCTCCTATTTACAATTTAGCCTCAGCTCTACTTTTATTCTCTCTGATACTGAATTTACCTTGAGAAAGTGAGATAAGGCTTCCAAAATTATCCCCCCTTACAACCCTTTAGTTTTACACTGCTGCATTCTACACTTTTTTCCTTACAAATTAATGGACCAGTTTCCATGGTTTCAGATTAAACACTTTTTCTAATAGTAACAATGACCTTGGGTCAAGCTCCTATTTACAATTTAGCCTCAGCTCATAAGAATTTCTCTATCACAACTACGCTTCAATGTTTTTAGAAACAAAATATTTCCAGGTCAGGAATTAGATTTTTTTAAAAGTATAAAATGACCTTGAACATTTTCAAACAAGTTTTTAATTGATCAAATGAACTACATGTGAAAAGAATTCTGAATCTTAATTCTTTTTAAAGTATACCCCTGAAACTCCCAACTTTAAAATTAAAATTGTGTTCATGACATATTTTTGTCTATTTTTTTAAATAATTATTTTACAAAACAATTAATATTTCACCAAACCTATATTCAGCATTATGGTTGATGGATCTTTTGGAAAACCAGTATTATCAGCAGCAGCATAATATTTTCCATTTATAAATACTGATGATTTGGTAGGACTTTCAGACTGAAAAGAAAGAGAATCTGAGAAAAAAATCTTCCTAAATGATTATCATGATTATATATCACACAGCAATTCTATTCCAATCAATAGGAAATGAGCTCTGTGGCTAAGAAAAAAGCAGGAATCAGTTCAGTATTAGAAAGTTTAAATCAATAAGTGGTCCAAATCCTCTAAAAGGGAAGAGAGATGCAGTATGATTGAACAAAATTGAATATACACTACCCCAGAATGCTTTCATACAAATAAGACCAATCTTGGCTTTGCAGATCTTGAGAAGAAGATCTTTAATTAAAGATTTTTCTGATATATTCCTATGTAAAACTTTGATTGTCCATTGTGCCCTTTGCCCCGCGGGGTCATGACTTAAAAAACTTGAATCTACACTACTTGGGGATGACACTTTCCCCATAAGTTTTATCTTTTCTGGAACAGTGGTTCTTGAGAAGATTTTAAAACATGCCGCCAAATTTTCTCTATTTCTGAATTATCCCCCCCCCCCCCCCCGCGAATAAGGATGCGACCCTTCATTTTAATTAACTTGGTTCACCCCACCAAAGGATGCTTTGTAGCAAGTTTGGTTAAAACTGGTCAAGTGGTACTAGAGAAGAAGTCAAAAACATGAAAACTTTACAGACAGATGGACTACAAAACAAACTGTGATCAGATAACATCACCTGATCTTTCAGCTCAGGTGAGCTAAAAAGTCAATCAAGATATCACGTGTACCTTATAGAAAAATACTAGGAGAGAGAGAGAAAAAGAATCAAGCCCTGCTACGTGCTCACCAAAAAAGGGATATTACACATGTATAATGGTGGATATTTTAACTGAACAATGAGGCAGATGTTAAACACTAAAGGACTCTGTCAAGAAGCAAATACAGTTGATTCCTCATGACATGACTGAATGATTTTCAAAATTTAAATTCTATCTTACCCTAATATAAACATGAATCCACTGCTTACTTTTCACCAGACCATATATTGCTGCATTTTGAGTTGTATTAACAGTAATCGTTTGCGAAGATGAAATTGCAACTTGAGCACCACCCACTCTAAACAGATTACTGTAAAAGAAAATGGCATATGTTATTATGATTGTTTCAGCTATTGTAATGGTGTGGGTTGTGAATATTGAATATTGGCCATGGTAGCTGAGTTGGCAGAGCAACTGACAAGGAAGCAAGCCCCTTCACTTAAAATGGTTACGAGAGTCATGTATCTGACTTGGAAAGGTGTTTCTCCTACCCTCCTCCCCCCTTTAAAGGCAGAGATATTTTATCAGGTGGTAAATTCCAGGTGAGGGAGGGGCTTATTTTGTACAGCTGTGAATGCCTTGGGGGCTACATGTAGCAGTCTACCTGTGGTCACTTGTCTCTTAATCCCAGAGTTCTTGAAATCTTGTTTTCGCTGTCAGTCATTTGGACTGACTGCCATGTGAAGTTTGTCAGTCCAGACAGATTTCTATCAGTCCAAAACAATTTCATAAAAAAGATGAATAATGTATTTGAATTTTATTATCAATAAACACGACGTTCATAAACACTGCACATTTCATGCCGATTTGATTGTCATATAAAAATTTTCTTTGAATTCTCATGGAGTCGACTTTTTTCATAAGTTACTTATCTAGTTTGATTTTTCTCACTTGGCTTACCCTAGCGCCATCCAAAAAACTTGTTTTACAATTTACTAATCAAGGTTTGGCACTTGCATTCATCAAAGAAGCCATTACAAGATACAGAAAAAGCATTTGAAAGATTACGATAGGTCGGTTATAGATAATTCGTAGGAAATTTAGTCAGGTTTTCGCAAGTTCCTCTGTTAACACTTTCCGGTCATTTGGACTGACACAGAACGCAAAGTTATCGGTCCTTGGTTGTTTTTATCGGTTTTGCTGACAGGACTGAAAGATTTCAAGAACTCTGTAATCCCTATACACAGGAAGCAAATGCCTTTCCCTTAGAATTTCAAGTCAAATGTAAACTTCTGGCCCCCCTTTAGTCATGTCTCGGATTATTTGATAAAAATATCTTGAATGATTTCTTTATATCTGAGCTAAACACTAACCAAAGAATAGTGAAGTCAAGGTCAAAGTAAAGGTCAAGGTAAAAAAATGTTGATGCAGTTGAATAGCTCTCATTATTATGTATCAGCATATGAAGTTTAATAAAAATATCTAAGAGGTTTTTTTAAAACTGAGCTCAACACTAATTTAAGAAAAGTGTGATCATGGTCAAAGGAAAGGTCAAGGTCAAAGATGGTGCTGCAGTTGATAAGCTCTCTTCAGTTTGTATCAACATATGAAGTTTGATATTATGCATTGCACCAATGTGTTTCTTTTCGCATTACGTGAGAATCTAAGCTCTTCTTTGCTCCATTCTTGAACATTTATTCATTGGCTCTCGACTTAAGTGCTGATTAGTTAAAAAAAACAAATAACATATAGATGACAACACGTTTCTAAGTATTACGCAAAGGAATAAACAAGCCCCGTAATAAGCAGACCAGACAAGATTGAATAGGTTTAGCGTTTTGTGTTGTTGTACAAATTAAAGTTTACAGAAAACTTGCACATATTTTATGTTTTTTGTGTCTTTAATTTCACTGCCCCCGACCAATTAGCTTTAAAGTGGTCAGCCAATGAAACAAGGTGTTGCTTTACGCCAATGGGAATGTTTGATTCAAATAAAGCAACAACAAAAATACACCTTGGTGCAATGTATCCTAACACTATCTTGAATGGTATCTTTAAAACTAAGCTAAAACACTAATTTAAGGAAAGTCAGCTGGGTCAAGGTCAAAGAAAAGCTCGAGGTAAAAAAATATTGATGTTGATGCAGTTGCATAGCTCTCGTCAGTATCTATCAGCATATGAAGTTTGATGAATATATCTGGATAGTTTCTTTGAAACTGAACTTTGAAGTGAGCTATATGCAAAGTGTGACGGAAGGATGGAAGACGGACATGGACAAACACTATATTCCCCGGCCATATTTATGGCGGGGCATAAAACACTAGCTATAAGTACCATGCTCGTGGTTGTGGTGATTCAGTATATATCCAGAAAGATACACTGGGATTGTCTGTGCTACCAACGTTTATGCGGATGTTTAAACAGTCATCCTTATTACTCGATGTTATACGTATTTTACCATTTCCTGTTTTTGCACTGCTTGGTAGAGAACTGTCTTCGATATCGTCTACAGTACAGTTTGCTAAAATGTTTTGCAGTAAGGATACATATGGTGCATTTAAAGGTCCCGTTTGCCCGCTTCTGCAACCAGAAACAGACGTGCAGGACGAACCCGATCCTAATTCACAGGATATTGCCTCCACTTGACCACGCCTGTTGAGTTCTTCTGGGCTATCTGGGGGCTCCGCATAATTAAATCCACTTGTGGTTGTGCACAGCAATAGCAATTTTAAAAACAATATTTGATAGGATACCGTGAACGATTTTTTGAATAGTTTCAGCATCGTTTCCACGTGTTACTCAAAACTCCTTCCTGGACGGCATAATTTCTACTCATTGCCCACTTTTTTTAAGATTTCATTTATCTTCTGTAGTGTGCGTCATGGTTTTCCCTCCAATTCTCATCAATCTGACACGAACACTTGGTAACTAAAAGCAAAAGAAAACAATTTCATTTAACTACTTCATAGTGATAAAACAGTGTTGAGCACACGTCTTCTAAATGGTTTGGTTATCACTTATACACTGTAAATGTAGTCCTATCTATTCAGCAAAGAGCCCTTATATAAATATTAGCAGTGAAAATACATGTAAATATAAGGGATTTCTTAAATTTTCATTCAGATCGTGCACCCCCTCAATCTTTTGTTGCTGTAAGGTTGAGCCAGGAAAAAAGTACCCGAAACCTAGAGTAAGTTCCATTTCACTCAAACCCTCTCCCCACCCCACCCCCCTCCCAAACCCCCCAAAAAGTTAACAGATTTTAATCCGTTTGTTCGTGAAGTTTTGTTAAAAATCATGTTTAAGACTCAAAAAAAGATCATATATGTGTCTTTAGTTTCTCTAATGTTTGCAGGAAAACGGCAGATATCTGTCTGCATGGCAGTCGTTTTTTATATTTTATTTTACCTTCACAAAGACATACATAACTTTTGTATGTAACTGAAAATCATATAGACATGCATTGTTTTCGCACTTGAGCACAGCTCCATTCATAGAACTCAAATACTTCCTGGTTCAGTTCACTGAATTACAAACCGACAAGATCGACGACATGAGATTGTGGTGGATCCAACTTTTTCCCTTTAAGATTTAACTTCAGTATTGATTTCTTTATCAATCAATATAAGAGATATATGCACCTTTACAAAGGGTTTTTTCCTTTGTACAACAAATTTAATGTCTCCAAAAAAAATGAAATAAAACTGGATAGAAAGTTCAGGACCGCGGTTTGTGCTTTCCCATAAATTAATGTACCGCCAAATACACACGAAAGCTGAAGTACTACAGACTTTGGCGTTAAACAATAAACAATCAATTAATCTTATATATTAAGTTATAATTCGCTGAAATTCAATAAATATAAGTACAAAGCCGTGTCTCATTTTCCTTGCTTTCAACTTTGGCGTTTAAAATACTAGTAAACATTTTCATCAAGTCAAACAGACAAACACACCATGAAGAGTTCAAGAAAAGATAGACCTACCCCGCTAATGGGCCGCTTGTCCCCATTTTTATCCAAAAAGACCGAATTTCCCTTCCTGGTAATAAAACTAATGTCATTAAAGATATCTTTGCGTGAGAAATATACTCTTCAAGATTTTTTTAACACAGGTAGGCGAGTATTTTTTGAAACAATCCCCACTATAAAGGGCACAATGTATACCAAGGATTAATTTGTTGAGGAGTAGAGTGGATCAGAAACATTTCATTGGTTAGCAAATTTGAGGGGATGAGCAGCATGTCTTTGACATATAATTATCTCAAATGATATTGTCTTCTACTGATTTTTACTTGAAAATTAAAAGTACACGACTATACTTAATTTCATTTTCAGTAAACGACAGAATGTCTTTGCGTCTTTTTAGACGAAATCTCACAGATTTGTTGACTGTTGGAAAGGTATATATGATGCCATCAGGAAACTGCGTTAAGAACACATAAAATCTGGCTTATCTGAATTTAAGAAGTGGCCATCTTCACCAGCTAAGGTTGGTTCATGTATTAACCTAAAGAAATCAAGGGGGTCGGCTACTACTAGAAATATTTCCGACCATGCAGAGTTTTTTTACGCAGTGCTACATGTATAAAGTTGTATACATGACGACCAGCATATCAGGCTGTAATCAAAACCATTTCTTGCTCAGCCTTAACTGATCTACCACAAAATTTATCCCTTTCCAAAGTATTTAAAAATTTATTCCTCCTTTTATTTTACTTTTTTTGCCTCTTTTAAAATAACTTTTTTCATCGGGTACTTTTTCACAAAAACCTGCTTGGGGTAACCAAAGGCCTTTAATTGGATCGCTTAAAAAATTGTGTGTTTAAAAAAAGATAAAGGTATTTTTTTAACATCTCAATTTTTTTTCAAAGCGATCTAAAGGCCTGGGGGGGGGGGGTAACTAAAAATTAATGCTTTTAGCAAATGGTAAAATTTTGTACAAAAGTGGATCTGATTTTGAAGATGAAAAATAAAAATGTTTTCCCTATACAAACCCAATGGTATAGGCCCGAAAAGGTCAAACAACATACATTATTAATTTTTCTTTGGCCTTCTTTGCATAGGCCGACAGTCAACTATACTTTCTACAAGGAAGTATACAGTGCAATCTCGCTGCTCCTTCTTTCTTTATTTTACCTTAATTTCTTATTTCTGCATATGACTGGTTCCAAGATTGTGCGTGTTATCAGTTTAAAGAATACTCAATGCAAAAATTGGCGATTACTTGCAAAATATGATAAGCACCGCGTGACTTTGAGGAGGACGAACATTGAACGAATTCAATTGCTGAATTATACATTATAAAGGCATATATATTGCATAATCAAAATAGTGTAAACAGTAATACAGTATACTGTATATACATGTATACGTATATATTCTTATTCTTAATGACTTTATTTTGGAAACTCATTTTTGATAGATTTGGTAAATCATTCAACGGTATTTTTAACTAACCTAAGATTTAAAATGCACATTGTCTGCGATTAACAAAAAAATATAACTAAAAAAATGTTAGACTCAGAAAAAAAAATCATTATTCCATTACGTTTATTCATAGCCACATGCACATGTGTGGTTATTTTAGTCTACAGGTAACGGGTATATCACATTTTAACGTCCTCGTTCCAGAAACTGGTTTAGGAGCTCACTGTTAATTAAATTGAATTTTTTTTAAAGTCGAAGCTATATTTCAGTATTTCTTTCAGTGGGTTTGAAAAATAAAACAAGATTTTTAAAACCCTAGATAAAAGGCACGACATACCTATGAAGGATGTAAAACTGAAAAGTATATTATGTTTTGAATCATCAATTGTTCACATCGGACACATGAACCTAAAAATGCGTGCATGGGCACTTTTAGAAATAATAATGAATACATTTAACAATCGTCTCTATTTCAGAGTATGCATATATAAAGAACTCATGTTTATTAATTTTCTTACATAGTTTGCATAGTTTGTGTGATTTTTTGGAAGCTCTGAAGGTGAGATTTATTGTCTATAAAGACTTTCTAAAACATCGGGCAGATTAGGACGAGTGGGATCAGTAAAAGGAGGGATATATAACCGTTCATGAACGTGGTCTGGACCCTTCTCTCAATTTATGACCCAACACATCTTATTGACCTAGATTTTTTAAGAGGAAAAAATGACCATACCCCCCTACCTGACCCATTCTCCCACAAAAAACAAGAAACACCTCGTAAAATGCACATGGTGAGACGTGTCATGCATCGTTAAGAAAATTGATTTACGCTAACACCCCCTCCCGTTTTTGTTGTTGTTTTCTTTATGATAATTTGTTCATTTCTAGTTTCTTCTGGCAAAAAAAATCCTGTGTTGAATATTTCTTTGCTTCTTTGAAAAAATATTTGCACAAATATTCGAACTTATATAAAGATGAACATAGCTGCAAAAATGTAGCCCTCTTCGACTTTTTAATCTAACATTTTTCTTTTTCTCTCCACCCTCCCCTCCCACCAAAAAAAGGGGGAGGAGAGGGCTTCATTATTGCAGCTAAGATATAAACATGTTATAACTTTTAACTTTGTCCATACATATTGGCTTTGAAGTTATGCTTCTCAAAATTTTGTCGACAAACACTACAGAATAAACGAAAGAAGTTCATTGGCAATATTTACACTCTTTTTGACAATAAACACTTTGTGTCTTATCATAACATTTTTAAGCCTCAGAAATGCTCTTTTTATCCAAAAGTAGGAAGATTTTTTTTTATTTAATCAAATTTTTTGCCCATTACATTTATCACATGTCAGACCTATGTAAAATTAGGTTTTATTGTTGATGGTAGATACTTTTTTTTTAAAGTAAGAAAATGTATATGTATTTACTGTTTACTGAGATTTTTATCAAAAATTTTGAATTTATCTTCAATTAAAAAAAAATAATTTCCCTCCCTTCCTCCTGTGTCTGAAACCCTTCAGGCAGCAATTCCAAACAAACATTTTTTTAAGGATGGCCTAAGTAACGGCATTTAAATCCTGCTCAAGATATGGTCCTTGAAAAGCACCGATGTACGTACTTTAGCTATTTTCACCAAAGAGACGAATATACTACTTTCCATTTATAGCTAGAAGTCCTTGTTCTTTAGTATCTGAAAAATTTACACTTTCAAATAATTGATCCGATGCCATACGCAGAGAAAACGTATTGTATTATACAGGGAAAATTATGCATGTTAAATGTCGTTTCATAATGAATACTTTCAATAGCAGTGAAATTGGTATTGTACAGATTTTCCAACAAATGCATAATAAATACACATGATTTGTAAACCTCTACAGTATAAGGAAGAAATTATCAATAATTTTTATGTCTGCCCTACTAAATACATTTCCTTTGCTTATCCTGTTATGCGTCTAAATTCTTTAAAAATACGATATTTTTACGATTATAGAAAAGAAAAATACAGTGAAAAACAATGGTACATTACTTCTTTAAAGTGTATTTCATATCATACTCTATAAAAGTATCTATAATATGTGTTACTAGACGAACATCAAACTGTCTAATGAAAGCTCTATTCCACTTAAAATTAAGTGAAAGCTCGCTTTATTCCGTAATCATATAAAAAGTCCTCAAGATTCGTATACTATCTGTAGCAGGTTTGCTAAGCGGCTCAACATATAACCTCTTATGACAAAGAAAAACTGTTCTTTTCGATATAGGGAAACGAAAACTCATTCAACTTATCATGAAGTGTGTGTGTTTTGCACTGCTTTCAGGGAATAACCATGTATATCTGAGGATCTGTCTATAATAAAAATTTGTGGATGTACAACTTTTTTGCATCAAGTAAACGTGAAGAGGTCGGACCTCCGTTTCCATTGCAACAAAGATTCGTATAAAATAACGCAAAACCATTTTAATCTAAGTGTGATAACTATATATTAAAAAAGTAGAAATACAACCATGTACATTTGCAACAGGACGAAAGAAAATGAAACAGCATCTATACACACAAAAGTCTTCGAGTTTTTGATCTGCCAACAACATATAATCATGATAAACTATACATGACCATCACAAAACAATAATCAGCATGCTTGATTAATTTGTCTCATCCCAATGTACTTGAAAGTATGAGGGCGAAATAATCTAAGGAAATAAAAACGAATAAAAATAACTGCCGGATCTGACATGGATTGTGTCAAAATGTAAGTAAGTATGACTATATAGAGTGAATCAACGGAAGGAAATTATTTTTGATTTTTTAATGATGATCATGAAAAATCTACTAAAGGAGTATAAATATAGAGAGAAAGATATTTTTAAATCGCTGTTTATGTATATTTATACAAGCCTGATATGATTTCAACAGGTTTAATACTTGCTCTTTAATTCACAGGTAATCGGCACAAATCAATGCAACACACGTCTATATTTAAAGAAATGCGTCAATGTGCGTGGGCTTTTTTCTTTGCATTTCAAATTCTCAAAATTATTAATATTTTTTAAATTAATTTATAATCATAACAATCATGGAAGATCTGGAGAAAGAAGCATGGGGAGATTTTTTTCTTGCATGCATACATGCATAGCTGAGGATGAATGTGAGAAGGACGTGCAGATCTCCTGGTCTTTTATCTAGTATTTTTTTCTTTCTATTCTCTCAAGGTTCAACTTTCTAGGAATCAAAGTTTCAAGTTGGTTCACCAAACATTCATATAAGATATTTACTAAATAATCAATGATAAAATTTTAAAAGCTGTCTGCATTGACGTACCATTGGTTTTAAAAGGAGAAAAGGGGGAGAGTAATTTAGGACCTAATTACTAACTTAAATATATCCAGCTCTTGTTAAAATGTAGTTAATCAACTTAACACATATCATGCATATTAAACTACACCACACTGAACGTTTACTTCATAGTTTTCATCAACTGATACACGTAGACGAAGTATCAGTTGGATTATTAAAAAAAAAAATTCAGAGAATTTCTTAAATGTCACTTTCTTTGAACCACCAAAGCATATATAATCAATACCGTGATAACTCAGTGTAACAGATACATGTACGCAGTCCTCGTAAAAACACACCCCCCCTTCCCTCCGAGTCTCCCCTCAATAGTTTTGTCTTCCTATTCAATATTATTGTACATCCATGGTGGTTCTTCAACCGGGAAATGAAACTTAAACATTGAAAAAGCTCATAGAGACACCTCACTTCACACTCACCTATCCGAGTCGCTAGTTTTCACACCTGAACAGGTACTCGTAAACATGGACAGAGATCACTCGGGCGGAGCTATTTAAAATTCGTATTGTTTGTTATATTTCTACTAACACATTCCAATTAATTTTACTCCTTGTTCTTCATTTCACGTAAACTTTGACTTGTCAAGTCGTAGTCCCCGATTTCTCATCTCACCGGAAAAATTACTTCCTGGTTTTTTGTGTATCTAATCAAGTACACTACACACACTCAAAACCCGTGTCAGCCGTCTCGGTTATTTTTGTTTACTCAACGGTGGCCCGGTGTTGAAATAATCCAAGAGGGTAGGGCTGCCACGGTTCAGACATTTTTCGGTTCGGTTCGGTTCAGAAAATAAATTCTCGGTTTTCGGTTTTTTCGGTTCGGTTTTCATTTTGAGAATTTAAATAAAACATCTTTATATATATCAAAGGATAATAAAGATTAAGGACATTGTAGAAAGTACTATTTTGCTGACACAAATTTCTATCCATTTTATTCAACAGAACAAGTTGTTAAATGTAACAGAAAATAACAAAGTAATACACTTCTTGTTTAAAATAAAATAAATATAGTTATTGACTAGAGTTATCTTGTTTCAAACAATTGAAACATTCAAAACGTGAAGTATTCCCACACTTGTGATTTGGTTTTCCTTCCACATGTGTATGCCATGTTTAATTGTCTTCGATGTTACCTGTATTTTCATTGGTTAAAGAACCCTTCATTGAAATAAACAACCAATCACAACGCGTGTTGCAAGCAAATTAGTATTATATAAAAGATAAAAAAAACCGAACCGAATTCCGGAAAACCTGACGATAACCGAACCGAATGCCATTTCGGAGCGGTTAACCGAGTTTTCGGTTAACCGTGACAGCCCTACAAGAGGGACATTTAAATTCCGAAATGTTTTAAAAACAGTGTACCTACTAGTTATAGGAAATCCCCGATGTCGCACTCTCGAAAATATATATATAAAATACATGGTTACTGTCTTGAAATATAAGCGATATTTGGGCGAGGGTAAGACAATGTGACTGTATCAAATGCTCCATTCCTTCAGGCATGATATCGATTGATTGGTTGATTTTGAAGAATGGGGTTCAGATCAAGTGCCACCCCATACACAAATTAAATATTATAAGTACAAGGAAAGAAAAAAAAGAAAGCACTTTGGAATCTACTTTACCTTATTCTAGGGAATTATATCTGGTAATTCTATGTCTCTCTGTATCCGTAGCAACGTTATACCGGTATTAAATCTCTAAGAATTAGGATTACCCACCCCCTAAAAAATAGATAAACGAAATAAGGTTAACGGACCATACTCCTATTTCCACTGTGTGTCCTTAGAGGGGGGAGGGGGTAACTTTAACTTTAATTCTTTTATAATACGTACAGTTTGAGTTTGATTTTTACGAAAATCACTGAAATCTAATTCAAAAACAATATTTCGATATGCTATACATATATATATTTTTTTATGAAAACTATTGTAAACAGTCTTCGTCTTTTAATTTATCGATTAAGCATTTTGCCAAAATTACTAAGGTTAAGATCGATGTAAGTCATAATAAATTAATCTTTTTTTATTCAAAGTTAGATTCAGTAAAAGGAATTGATTGATTGTTTGATTGTATACATGTTTAAGGTCTTCACTCATATGGAGACGCCACAATTTGCGGGTGGAGAGCTGCAAATTTTGTCTTACACTCGGCACTAAGATCCATTGAGCAGGGATGGATCTTTTTCGTGCCAGCACCTACATGTACTGCGACACGGGGCATCGGTTTATACGGTCTCATCCGAAGGACCGGTCTCCACGTCCCACAGTGGGATTTGAACCCGCGCGACCTAAGTATCAACTTCTTACTTTGCGACTCTATAGATCAGACGCTTTTTTCCCTTCTCTTTCATTGAGATCAGACGCTCTGCCCACTGCGCCGCGCGGGCTACTAAAGAAATTGTAAAATAAATTTGAAAGTTTTAGAGGCTGAGGGTTCTTATTGATCAGACGGGATAAATTAAAACGGTATAAATTAACGTATATTTTCATCTTAATATTATTAATATACGAAAGCCCGTTGAGGCCAGTTCAGAGAAAGAAATATTTTCTATTGCGTTTAAACGCAATAATTATTGCGTTCAATCGCAAAACTTTGCGTTTAATCGCAAAACTTTGCTTTTAATCGCTTAATCGCAATAATCATTGCGTTTTAACGCAAAACACTTTGCGTTTAATCGCAAAAGATTGCGATTAAACGCAATCTTTTGCGATTAAACGCAATAATTATTGCGTTTAAACGCAATAACATTTTTGCGTTTAATCGCAATAATTTTTGCGTTTTTACAGACCGACTCTTCTTTCTCCTCTTTAAATCCATACCATGATTTAACCATTCAGAAAATGCTTGTTCAGAAGAATCTGATTCTATAAAGCTTAACAATACACAATTCTTCTCATAGATTATTGCGATTAAGCGATTGTAAAAAAGAAAAAAAGAAACAAATATCAGCGTGGATAGATTGCACTCTTCAAAGATCAATAGACATGCTTGCTTTTAAATACAAAGATTATTGCGTTTAAATGCAAAAAAAAAAACTATTGCGATTAAATGCAATAATTATTGCGATTAAACGCAAAAATATTATTGCGTTTAAACGCAAAAATTATTGCGTTTAATCGCAATAATTATTGCGTTTAAACGCAATAAATCATTATTGCGTTTAAACGCAATAATTATTGCGATTAAACGCAAAGTTTTGCGATTAAACGCAATAATTATGGCGTTTAAACGCAATAAATATATTTCTTTCCCTGGACTGGCCTCAACGGGCTTCCGTATTAATATGCTGACTTAGTATTATTTCGTTGATTTCTTATAACAAGAGGCCCATGGGCCACATCGCTCACCTGAGCACCAAGGGTAGGACTAGTATAAAATGGCTTTTTATTGTAAAGTTTAAATCCAAAAGTAGTCCCATGACCAATATGGATTTGCTATTTTTTAGAAAATGATTGAGAAGAAGATATTTAAAGAATTTTCCTATACATTTCTATGTAAAACTTTGGTTGACTTTGGCCCCGCCCTACCCCTGGGGGTCATGATTTGAACAAACTTGAATCTACACTACCTGAACATGCTTCCATATAAATATGATGAATTATGGCTTTGTCATTCTTGAGAAGAAGATTTTTAAAGAATTTTCCTATATATTTCTATGTAAAACCTTGGTCGGCCATTTTGGCCCCGCCCTACCCCCGGGGGTCATGATTTGAACAAACTTGAATCTACACTACCTGAGCATGCTTCCATATAAATATGATGAATTATGGCTTTGTCATTCTTGAGAAGAAGTCTTTTAAAGAATTTTCCTATATATTTCTATGTAAAACTTTGGTCGGCCATTTTGGCCCCGCCCTACCCCCGGGGGTCATGATTTGAACAAACTTGAATCTACACTACCTGAGCATGCTTCCATATAAATATGATGAATTATGGCTTTGTCATTCTTGAGAAGAAGTCTTTTAAAGAATTTTCCTATATATTTCTATGTAAAACTTTGGTCGGCCATTTTGGCCCCGCCCTACCCCCGGGGGTCATGATTTGAACAAACTTGAATCTACACTACCTGAGCATGCTTCCATATAAATATGATGAATTATGGCTTTGTCATTCTTGAGAAGAAGATTTTTAAAGAATTTTCCTATATATTTCTATGTAAAACTTTGGTCGGCTATTTTGGCCCTGCTCTACCCCCGGGGGTCATGATTTGAACAAAATTGAATCTACACTACCTAAACTTGCTTCCATATAAATATGATGAATAATGGCTTTGTCATTCTTGAGAAGAAGATTTTTAAAGAATTTTCCTATATATTTCTATGTAAAACATTGGTCGGCCATTTTGGCCCCGCCCTACCCCCGGGGGTCATGATTTGAACAAAATTGAATCTACACTACCTGAGCATGCTTCCATATAAATATGATGAATTATGGCTTTGTCATTCTTGAAAAGAAGATTTTTAAAGAATTTTCCTATATATTTCTATGTAAAACCTTGGTCGGCCATTTTGGCCCCGCCCTACCTCCGGGGGTCATGATTTGAACAAACTTGAATCTACACTACCTGAGCATGCTTCCATATAAATATGATGAATTATGACTTTGTCATTCTTGAGAAGAAGATTTTTAAAGAATTTTCCTATATATTTCTATGTAAAACTTTGGTCGGCCATTTTGGCCCCGCCCTACCCCCGGGGGTCATGATTTGAACAAACTTGAATCTACACTACCTGAGCATGCTTCCATATAAATATGATGAATTATGGCTTTGTCATTCTTGAGAAGAAGATTTTTAAAGAATTTTCCTATATATTTCTATGTAAAACATTGGTCGGCCATTTTGGCCCCGCCCTACCCCCGGGGGTCATGATTTGAACAAACTTGAATCTACACTACCTGAGCATGCTTCCATATAAATATGATGAATTATGGCTTTGTCATTCTTGAAAAGAAGATTTTTAAAGAATTTTCCTATATATTTCTATGTAAAACCTTGGTCGGCCATTTTGGCCCCGCCCTACCTCCGGGGGTCATGATTTGAACAAACTTGAATCTACACTACCTGAGCATGCTTCCATATAAATATGATGAATTATGACTTTGTCATTCTTGAGAAGAAGATTTTTAAAGAATTTTCCTATATATTTCTATGTAAAACTTTGGTCGGCCATTTTGGCCCCGCCCTACCCCCGGGGGTCATGATTTGAACAAACTTGAATCTAAACTACCTGAGCATGCTCCCATATAAATATGATGAATTATGGCTTTGCCATTCTTGAAAAGAAGATTTTTAAAGAATTTTCCTATATATTTCTATGTAAAACCTTGGTCGGCCTTTTTGGCCCCGCCCTACCCCCGGGGGTCATGATTTGAACAAACTTGAATCTACACTACCTGAGCATGCTTCCATATAAATATGATGAATTATGACTTTGTCATTCTTGAGAAGAAGATTTTTAAAGAATTTTCCTATATATTTCTATGTAAAACTTTGGTCGGCCATTTTGGCCCCGCCCTTACCCGGGGGTCATGATTTGAACAAACTTGAATCTACACTACATGAGCATGCTCCCATATAAATATGATGAATTATGGCTTTGTCATTCTTGAGAAGAAGATTTTTAAAGAATTTTCCTATATATTTCTATGTAAAACTTTGGTCGGCCATTTTGGCCCCGCCCTACCCC